CGCAGGATAAGCCGAGGACCCTCGGTAGTTGTTTTTGAACATTGTACAGGTGTTATTGGCAAAGAAAAGCAGCATCGGACAAATTCCTACAGGTGTAATGGTAGGTAGTCGTGTGTGCGTTTGTTGGTTTTTCATTCCCCCCCTTATCGAAGGAGGGACTTGAATCGGGTGTCCCAGTTTCTACCCAGTCTATCGTTTCCCCGCCCAGCCATTAATAGCCGATCGATTCTATCGTTTCGCTCAAGACACCAATAAAACAAACAGAGGTCTGACGGAAGAAAAGGTTACAGGACACAAAAGAGAAACAGAAACACAAAGAAGTAGAATTATCCCAGCGCCAAAGGCAAGGAAAATGATTCATAAACGCCTAGAATAAAGCCACCCAAGCTTATTCTCTTGAGATGTCGCGACCAAAGACCTTGGACTTGAGCCAGTCATTGACGACGAGGAGACGGTTGCGAGCTAAAAGGTCAAGAGCGTTAGCATGTGACTACAATAGGCAAAAATTACGTCAGGGGGATATAGAACTTACTGCTGAAGCACATGGAAAGGTAGGCACTGCGCCAGAAGAAGTAGGTCATAGTACCACCACTGGCAATGTTTCCGTTCCACCAGGCAACATCGGCGACAGCCTTCTCGCTGCCAATGTAGGCCAAGCTGCCCTGGTGAGAGTAGTGGAAGGGCTTGATGTCTTTAATGCGGCGGAGCTGGCGCTCGTGAGCCTCGATCTCCTTGGCGACCTCGGCAGCGTTGCCGGGCTTGAGGTTCAGGTTGGCGCTGAGCTCCTGGACGCGCTCCTCGAGGGTCTCGGTTCTGGCCATGTTGTTGAAGAGTTTGGCAAGGAAGTTACCCTCCTGTGCGGCGACCTGAGCAGTCGGGGCGTATCCGGCGACAGCGCAGTCGCCAATGGCCCAGATGTCACGGGTGCCCTGAACAACGAGGTACTCGTTGACGGCCAGACCGCGGCGAGAGTCCTTCTGGGCGGGGATCTTGGTGATGAGGTCGCGGATGATGGGGCGGACAGCGTTACCGGTAGCCCAGACGAGAAGACCGTAGGGAATGGTGAGGGTCTGCTTCTTTCCGTCGGGGCCGGTACCCTCGGCCTGGACGTAGGTGTCGGTGACCTTCTTGACCATGGTCTTGGTCAAGATGTCAATCTTCTCCTCCTCAAAGGTCTTCTCGGTGTACTCAATCAGCTGCTTGGAGAAAGAGGGCAAGACGTTGGGGAGAGCCTCGATCAGGGTGACCTTGAAGCGGTCGGCAATCTCGGGGACCAGACGCTTGATGTCCTGCTCGAAGAAGTCCTGAAGCTCACCGGCGAACTCGACACCAGTGGGGCCACCACCAACGACAACCATGTGCATGAGACGGCTGACATCCTCGGCAGACTGATCCTTGAAGGCGGCGGTCTCGACGCAGTCCATGATCTTCTTGCGAATAGCCTGGGCGTCGTTAATCTCCTTCAAGAAGCACGAGTTCTCGCGCACGCCGGGAATGCCAAAGGTGGCATTCTCAGCCCCGACACCGACGACCAGCAGGTCGTAGGCGACCTCAGTCTCGGACGTGGTGCCCTTAATCTCCGACGTATCCAGGATCTTGACAACCTTTCTCTCGGGGTCGACGGAGCTGGCCTCGGCTTCGTAGAACTTGACGGCGGCCTTCTTGTGACGGAGGATGGTTCGGATGGGCTCCATGATGGAGCGGTGCTCAATGGTACCGGTGGTGCAGGAAGGCAGAAGAGGGGTGAAGAGGAAGTAGTTTCTGGGCGAGATGACGACGACGTTGTAGTTCTCCGTGTCAAGCTTCTTCAAGAGAGAGACGGATCCCCAGCCAGTGCCTGTCACAAGTTGTCAGTATGCGCGATATGTGCAGTGGGTGTATGAATGCCGCGCAGGCCGTCGAGTGAGGAACTCACCGAGAATGACCAGCGTCTTCTTGGTAGGGTCCAGCTCTACCTGATCCTCGGGGTGCCTGTCATCGTAGACAACATATCCAATGTAGCCGAAGAGACCCAGGGCAGAGAGGTAGGTCAAGCGCCAGGCCCATCTGAAGGTCTTGCGGACCTTGCCAGCCTTCTTGGGAGCGACATCGGCGTAGTTTCTGGTAAGCTGGCGCGCAACGGTTCCGACCTGGGGAAGGGCGGCGACTCTCGGCCTCGCGGTGAGGGTTCTGAGAGATTGTCTGGAGGTGGTTGTGAGGGTTCTGCGACCGGCATTGGCAGCACGCGGAGCTTTCGGGAGCAGCTGCTGGGCTGCGCGAATGGAGCTCATGGCTCTGACGGAGGAAGCCATTGCTTCAATTGGTGATGGAGAGGAAGGTCCCCGGTAACCAAAGATGGTTCTTGATGGCGAGGCAAGAGGATGCGACACTTGGTTGAAGGGAGGGGAAGAGGGAAAAAGGAAAAAAAGTCACGAAGGAGTTCGGAGGAGGGAGGAAATTCGGAGACGATAAGGATGCGCGGGCAGCACAAGCTGGTAGAACAGGACAGGACAGGACAGAGGAATTGGGGGTGGGAATCGCAAAAGTGTGACGCAGCCAACGAAGAGAGATTTGCAGGCTGGCGGCTGGACCCTCCCGACCTGGCGGTATTTTTTGGCAGCTTGCAGAAAATTTCAGGTGCTACGGGGGTGAGGACGTGAGGTCAGAGATAGCGCGCTCCGCCCGCGGCGCCGCCAGCCCAAAAGATGAGGTGGAAGAATGGGAAGCTTGGACAAGAGAGACAGTGTGTGATTGGGTGGGCTGTTTGCGGCAATACAGTAAACCGACCGCGAGACTCCGACTCCAACTCCCAAGAGCAAGCAATGTTTGCTGCCGACATTGGATCCAAAAAATGTCTTGGCCGTCCCGGGACCCAGCTGCCTTGGGTCCCTTGCTGCGCTTGCTGTGCAGTGTTAGCTGCTTACCTGCTTACATGCTTACCTGGTGCTAGGCATACAGGGGATTCAACTAAACTCCGTATCGTGGTCCGCGCAGCCGCAGTCTGCTCCCAATGGAGCGCTTGTTTTTGCCCTATCAGTGTTTGTTCATATTCCACCTCAGCTTTGGGGGTCACGAACATACGCAGTATGGGCCATTTCGAGGTGGGCGTAAGTGGGCCTCGGGGTGTCTCTTGCCCTTTTACCCTGGTTGTCTCTGTATTTTTTTTTTTTTTTTTTTATTCCCTTACCAATCTTGGTTGGCCTTGCTGTTTTTTTTCTTCCTTTTTTTCCTTGCGCGGCGCCTTGTCCGCCGGCGGCCTTGATCCAAAGAAGAAGCCCCGGCCACGTCCCGGCCGAATCCCGGCGTTTTGTCATTGAATTCTCCTTCCGCACCTGGGCACTTTCGGTCCGTCGCACCTTTACCAACTGCGCCTGGCTGATGTCGCGATAGCAACCCAGACCAGGATGACTCAGGAAATGTCTCCATCGCGCGCCTTTTTTTTTTTTTTTTTTTTTTTTCGTGACTTTTTTACCCGCCGTCAAGCATCGTGCCCAATCATGCCTTTATCTTACACACATCCCTCACTAATATCTCGCAAAATCCAACTGGGCTTGACCCCCCAAACTCCACTTCCCCGTCCACCCTTACCAGCCTCCAGCCACCTCCAGGCTCCGCTGCGCCAGATCTCATCTCAATCTCTCCAACTTGTTTATAGCGGTAGTACCATATTGTGAAGCCTCTCGCGCACATGCTTTTCAATGGCATACCATCCTTTCACCCGAGAAATCCAAAGCTCGTGAGTGAGCTATCATGTTCCGTAAACTTACCTCAATCCCTCGGGATACCTCGACCCAAGGTAGTCGTACGCCCATGTCATCACCCCCGAGAAAACGACCATCGCACTAGTACCCGCAAGCTCCAAATGCCGTTTCTCCGAAGGGCCCCGAGCTAGAGCACGTCTTATCTCGGACTTGAGGAGTTCCTAGGTCTGATTTTTAGCGTTGCTATGTGGCATGGAGTCGTTCTGCCCGAACTTGTTCCCCATACCCGACCACTTCCCGAGCCCCGAATCTGCACTCCATCCGGCCGAACGTCCCGGTCAATTCCTCCCTCTTTGCCCCCAGTCCGGCAGTCCGGGCCCTCGTCTCGAGGTCAACGCCCACCGTCCCCCGGAACCATCAAGGTGCCCGTGCGGCCCGGTGTCTCCACTATTCTCCTTCTCTCCGAGGCCATCGCCGAAACCGTCGGACTTAGGAATTCTGGAGAATGGGACGGGACTGGCAGGGAGGCACGCGACGAAGCCCATCCAGTCTCCTTTCTTAAAAGCATCAATCCCCGAACATCTTCACGTGGGCGTATGCTCTCCGATGTTTTTCTTTCTTCCTCATCATCCCGTGAAGGCTGCCGGGAATTTCCGCCATCAACCTTCCTACATCAAAACATGTGGTGGCTGCTAACAAGTTGGATGCCACAACCGCCTCGGCCAATCACGGCCTTCTAGTTACCATCGCCTCGGCTCCTGTCAACCACTCCCCTTACTTCGTCCTGTCGCTCATCTGCTCTTCTGACCTTCCAACCTGGCACCTCCATACCGCACATAGCCCAAGACACACTCGTGCGTTGTTCCTCAAAGCACGTTGTGAGACTGAAAGTTCCCTCACACTACACAGCTAGCGTCGTCTCCACAGCTATCATCCAGAGATGGGATTGCACTCTCAGCACATGCTCGAAACTGATGGCCGAGGAGAAGAAGGGTCCCCAAGCGGCTCATCGGCAACATGTGCAGATTAGGAAAAGTTTCTTTTGCTGCCTCTGAGCCAAGCACACTCTGTACGAACCGCAGCCTTGGGGGAAGGGGAGGGGACGGGGAGGAAATAGGATCGAGCGGGTAGGAAGCTAGTGTGTCGGCAGTTTTGTGATTGCGCGCGCGCGGAAACGAAACGGGGTGTCCATTTCGGCACAGCACATCTTCTCTCTCTCTTTCTCGATGCCCGGGCCCGAGATGCTGAAACGCCGCAAACCCAACCCGCCAACAGCAGGTGAAGAGGGAAAATAAAAAGAGGAGGCGCCGATGGGATGGTATGGGATGGGATGGGGGTGGTCACTGTGCCTTGTGGTGGATACTGAAGCCGACGGCCAAGATGAAACAGGGTTCGTGTCTGACTTACAAGCTCACACAGGAGAATGTGGGCCAAGACCTCCAGAGAGCCGAGACTGAGAGGAACTCGAATCCAGAGGCCTCGCAGACGGAGCACCACCATTGCACCAGCAACCGCCTGGTTTGACACAAAAACTGTGATCGGATTTTGATACGGGCGGCAAGGCTGTGGATGCAGTCGTGGTGCGGCTGCCAAAACCCCACGGTTTCCAACATCATGCAATTCCTCACACCGCGAGTGTTCGCTTGCGTGCCGTCTTATCCTCGCGAGCTTACGCAAACCGCGGGCCCCCTCATCGTTTGATCACGAACAATGTCCGTCGGACAGCGTCATGACGCGAAAGCTCCCTCACACTTCAGCTTGCTTCCATGAATCCAATCTGATAGGCGCTTAAGCGCATGACATGGACCCAGTGCGGCGGCAGCGAGATGAACCCGCTGCGTTATGCCGGCAGATGTGGGAAGAAAGAGGGCGCCCATTGAGGATGGACCACAAGACACTCGCACCATCGAAAGGTCTCGACTGAGTCGACCGAGGACTCTCGACTCATATCTTGCAATCCACTTTCGTTTCGTCGATGGTGTAGCGAAGCTAGCTCGTCAAGTTGAAAAGTCAATGGGCCCCATCATCATCATCATCCACCTCCAAACGAATAGGGTCGAAACGGCCGGCAGGTTGAGCAGTACGTAGCCTCGCAACATACATGCCACACTTCCCTCGCCAATCTTGCATTGTGCCAGTGTGATAAGAGACAGAGGGTGGAGAAGGGGAGAGAGGAAGGAAGCCAAGCTGAGAGCCTTGGGCGGGTGCCATCCATGCATCCATCGCAAGGCGCGGCGGCTGCACACCCGAGCTCTTGGTAAGAAGATCGTGAAGCTTGGCAGGCGAGACATCATGGTAGCCAAGCCGCGGAGGATTTGTCAAGCGAACGTTGATCCCAGCAACTATGGCATGCCTTCTCACTACCCAGGAACGAAATCTGTTTGGATTCTTCAACAGATTCTCTGGGCAAAGAGTCCGCGTATATTAATTTCAATTTATTATGAGGGAAGCCTTGAGAGCCTTGGTAGCCTTGGTTGAAGAAGGTTTCCCGCAGCTTTGGACTTGTGAGGCAGAGCACGGTTGTTAGATAATATGATTAGATCTCTGCCAAGCCTCCGCCTTGGGCTTCTCGTATGCATGCGGCGTAGGCCTTTCTGGCGAGTAGTGCCATCTTTTTCAGGTATACGAATTATGAGGCTCAAGCGCCTCGGGAACATCGTACAACCTCTTTGTAGTAGAGTCACGCGAGCTGGCTTTTTGGATTCTTGGAATACGTAGTTTATGGGTGAGGAGAAGAGAAGCCTCTTTTGATACAAGCGGAGAAGCTCGCGTGGAGCGGAACCTTCATCTTCGAAAATGACCAGCGGCTAATGAAGGCCAAGAAACCAGCACGATCAAGCTTCTTTTCGTTACCCTTCCTCCCTCCTCGTAAAGATCCAATCAGCAGGCTTAGCGAGGTAAAAGGCAGACGGAGGAGGTGTGGTTTTTTGGCTTAGATCCGCCCCCCGGTCGACAAGTTTCCAGATGCCAAGATGGGAGCTTAATTGCCCTGTTGGATTTTTCTGTGACAAGTCTTGCGAAGGTTGTTGCAGGTTTTGGGCGCGTTGGCAAGGTACGAAGTAACGAAAGAAAGAGACAGAGGCAAAAAGGTTGAGATGAAAAGACTTTTGAGGCGAAAAAGCAGCCAAACACGGGGCAACGAGGGGTCCTAGAGACAGGTGGGAACCGGCTCGTCACGGCAAAAAAGGGCGCAGCACGACGGGATGTAAAGAGGTGTGTGATGGTCTGTAGGTGTGTAGGTGTGTGTGTGTGTGTGTGTGTGTGTGACGAGGGGAAGGGATGTTCAGGTTTCGAGGGTTCGGCCGTGCGGCCGTGAGATGAGGCTATAGCATGGCTCCGGGGCCAATAGCAAAGTGCCCGGCTTGGAGCAAATATTGAATTGGGGCAGAAAAAGAGCGACGAGTCACTAACAGAGTTGCACGCTAGTTCATTACCTTACTCTTGTTTGCCCAGGGGCAGCACGAACGAACGGAACGAGGCGAGCGGGCAACCCTACGCAGGTAGTTAATTGACTCGTAGAGAATTAGCCTCACGGGGAGAGGAGAGGAGGAATGTTGAAAGCAACAAATTGAAGCGGGGTTGGGAAATTATCAATAGGATAGTTTTATGAGGCTCTTTGGTTCCTGGAGAAGAGTTAGCTTTTGTTCAATAGCTTTCTCGTTTATTCCACCCCCTTACAGATTTTCATTGGTAAAGAAGCCGAGACTAGTTCGCTGGGCGTTTTGCCCAGAGAAATGCGTTTCCGTTAGCCAGATCTGGCAGGTGAGGGAACGACAAGGGGAGGGGGGGGGCCCAAGCTGATATAGCAGTAGTAGAGTTAACTATTGGGGGCATTTTCGCGTCCCTTTCTTCCATGCAGCTAGGTCAGGTAGGCAGAGCATGAACCAACGGCACGAAGTAGGTAGGTAGAGCCTCATCGATGATCCTAGGCGAAGCTTGTGCGAGGTGAACGCCACTTCCGGATGATGATCGCGCGGTTCAACGGCCGAGTCTCAGGGTTTTCCAGAGGACAGGGTTCTTGGTCAGTAGACTTCCGTCACTCTTCTCTGAAAGGGGAGGGAAGGGGAATAGGTTCAAGAAGGGGTTGAGGGAATTAGGTAAAGTATTTCAAACGTGACTTTTTGACGATGATGCAAACTGTCGAACCCAGCTTTCGGCAAGGCGGCAAATTCGGCAACAACGGCCATTTCAGACTTTCAGTTCGAGCTCCTGAACTCCTTTCCTGGGCCAGGAAAGGGTGTTGATGATGATGATGCTGGAACGACAACAACAAGGTGGTGTTTGTCCGTACTCCGTTCCGCCTCTGCCTCTGTCTCTTCCTATACATCCTCATCGCCGGCCGGCCTCACCAGTGATCCTCCCCGAGAGCCCTGGTCAGCTCGAGTGTAAGTGGGCTTTCCTGGGACGTTGGTGTGTGGAATGTGGATACAAGATTGCATGGTCGTACAGTACTTCTAGACTCGGAGCCCGGAGGACGCCAAAACAGCGGCGTATAGATCAACCAGCGCAGTGCGAGGAATCCGGGCTCGAAGAATCAAAGCCCGTCGCCCGTTGGCTTTGGTTTGGATTTCCCGCTCCAGAGGCTGTCATTCGTCGGCCGGCGCGGTGGGCTAAGCAAATTCTGGCATCCGTCATTGAATGAAAATGATCCATCCCGCTTCAGCGCCGTTTGGATGTTACACATCAGTGCGTCGGGCACTCTCCCGCGAGCCAGTGCCAGCCACCATCTTGATTGAGTGACCCAGTGAGAGGGGCTAGGCCTGAAAGGTTCGACTAGCTCATACCCAAGGTAGGTAGTCTTGCCCAGCCTTGGATCAAAAACGGGGAAGATGGGAAGGGGAAGAGTCTAGAGAAGGGGGGGGGGGCCTGGAAGGGGAAAGGGAGGGGGGGAAACTCGGGAGAAAGACTCCCTGAAGGCTTTCCCGGTCCGCACCGGGCCCTCCCTTGTCCTGAAACCCGCTCTTTCCCACGCTGAGACGCATGGTCCCCTGCAAGTGTCGTCGCAGATTTTCGTAGAACTTGCAGACCTTCAGCGCGCTCTTTGTCCCCCTCCTCCTTGAGTCCTCCCCCCATTGCTCCCCAAGGGCCCCCCCAAAGGTCCCAATAGACCCCTCAAATGCCGGGTCCCGACCGGAGGATACGTCTCGCGCTAACAGATCCCCCGCATGTGTCTCGCCGTGGGATGGTAGCGACTCGACATTCCAGTACCGTCCCAATTCGGCTCTTCGAAACTACAGCTTCGACGGCGGACTGGTTGACCTTTCTACAGCTGTCTCACGTCTACAACACCTCACACGCACCTCACAGGCTCACAGTACATGCTCCGTATCGTACATTACCAACTTAGATGCCGTTCACTAGACCCCGGCTACGATCTTCACCACGGTCATGCTGCAGACACTACTGTAGGTGTGTGTCATCCCTGTTCTTCTCTCCCCTTGATGCCCACACCTTGACCAACTTCTCTCGACTCTCGTTCGCCGACGGCCAGTTTATTACCCACAGCTCTTGAGGATGAAGCAGAGACGACGAGACGTACCGATGAAGAAGCTGGTCCCTCTCCCCCCATCTCAAGTCTCGTCTCTAGACTTCTCCTACCGTCCCCTGGAAGAGCGTCCGTGTTCTCCTTCAGGCTTCAACCCCCTCCGACCCAACTTCTCCTACCGCCGGAGCATCAATGGCCTGCTCTGGTAATGATTGACACCTAACAAGCTTCGGCGCATCTCGTCTGCTCTCTCTGCCCACTGGATCGACTCGATGGGCGAACAGTCCATTCCAGACACCTTCCACCATCCATGCCTTGCGTGCCTGTGCCGGCCAGGGTCCCTGTTGTCTACGTAGTATAGAGGCACACGAATGGATACTGGACTGGCCACCGGGTCTGTGTCTGAGTCTGGTGTACAGTACGGGGCATTCGTACGGACCAGACGCCAGGGGAATGGATACGGGAAGAAGAGACCAGACCATGCTCCGTTCTGCGTAGCCGTACGCTGGGAGCCTACGAGTAGTAGAGGGGTGGACCTTCCTCGACCTCGTTCGCCCTCGTTCGCCCTCGCCGGGTTGCCGCACCTGTCTTTGGACAGACTCTCGATGCGAATCTTCTGCTCTGTACGGGTACTTGTCCAAGGTGGTCTGTACTCGGAAAGTCGGCGGTGGCTGGAACCTGTTGCTGATGCCACTGATGCTGCTGATGCGACGCAATCGTGTTCGGCCCTGCACGTCAGTCCAAGCAGAACGCCTGTGCTTGACGTTCGGATATTCAGAGAAAGGGACGAAGAAGATGGCATCACCAATATACGCAGCCAACGTACGCAATAGGACCTGCGGCCATGACCAATTCTGCCGGCCTGACGTTCTACTACCACCTAGTAGTGCTAGCCTAACAAGAGTCTGAAGTCGTTTTGTCTGTCCCTGTGGCACTGGCATGACAAAAAAGTCAAACCCGCGCGACTGACCGCTGACATACTCGACGACAGCTCGATCCACGGACCACCCACTAGTGCGCCGCACCCATCGGCTTTCGCGTGCCAGTTCCTGCGCCAGTCCTAGTCAGTGCTGGTGCCCGCATGGGGTGTCGTGGGTGTCTGGATCTATCCCTGAAGCATCTCGGGGGGGGCATCTGTCATGCAGCATGGGTCTCCCCGCGAATGATGGATAGATGATCGACCCAATCTGATACATACTGTCGCCTCTCGCTCGGCTGGCTTCTCTTCTTCCCTCCCTTCTCCCTCTTCTCCCTCTAGTGCCTGACATCTCCGCCAGTTGTTTGGTGTTCACCACTTTTTTCCATTCTTCCATACCAAGGCCGGCCTTATTTTTCATTTCAATTCTTTTCTTTAGACCCATTTGCTGGCACTGACGTCTATTCATTCGTGTGTTTGTATTCTTCTGCCTTCTCTCATCCGCTCTTCGCAAACCGATCGAGTATCCTTCCAACACCGATTCAGCCGGTTACAACTCGATCTCGAATAGTATCAACCAAGGGCCATGGTCGGAAGTGATTGACAAGAGGAAAACCTTGGCGACTATCATCGGTCCGGAACGGATAGGATAGGATAGGATGACAGGAGAGGAGGGAATGGCTCCTCACGCAGTGCCACGGGCCCAGAAGCCCTCCAAGAGACGTGCACCACCCGCCAACATCGCCGTACCGCCTTTGCTTTGGGATCGCGATGCCGAGTCTGACGATGAGTACGCCAACCAAGTGAGAAACGCCGCAGGAGGCGTATGGAAACGGGCCATCAATGCTGGACGCAGGTATGCGGATTCGGCAGTAGACCGTCGCTCAGACAGCGACAGCGACGATAAGGCGCGGAAAAACCAGCTCAAGAACCCTCCTCCCCAACAACAACAACAACAGCCTCCTTCAAGCCCGGACACCCCAAAAGCTGTGAGGCCGTCCAACAATGTGGCATCAGGAAAGTTGCCTTTGGCAACCCTCCGTCCGCCGCCCGCATCGATTCGTCCTCCTCCGGCGGTCGTTGCCGCACCGGCTGTGCAACCGACCCCCGTGAGAACGACACCCGCTGCTACATCGAAACCCCCAGCTGTACAGGTTCCAGTCTATATTGAACAACCTCAAGAGACTTACGCACAACCTCAAGAGACTTTCATCGCTCATCCCGAGATTCCCGTCGAGGCACCGGAGCGTCCTCCCACCCCGCCGCCACCACCACCTGAAGAGCCCGCACCACCACCAGTTCTCGCTCCGGCTGAGCCTGACCCACCACCACCACCTCCGCCTGAACCCGAACCCCCAGCAGCGCCGCCAGCTACCATGACTGTTACGGCGCCTCCTCGAACCGTCACCCTCATCTCAACCATGAAGCAACCGGATTCGGTGAGTTATATTAGTTCAGGAAGTATCGTTGAACATGACTGATATAGAACAGCCCAAGAAGCCCAAGTTCACTCCGTCACCACCGCCTCCTCCAGTAATTACTCCCACTCCTACAGTCCCGCCTGCAGTCATCGCGCCCAGTGGGCCCCTTGCCCTGCCCCCTTTGCCATCGGTTGATCCCTCAGCCCCGAGGAAGGGTATCGATGGAGAGAAGCACTCAACGCCTACCATCACAGCCACTCTCGCCTCAGCGGTACTTCCAGCCGAGACCATTTCAGCGTTGCCAGGCTTGGCCAGTGGTGGTTCCAGCAAGGATGATGGCAGACCGCCAAGAATGAACCCCGAGACAGAGCATGCCCTCATTGCTGTTGGCTCAATAGGTAAGCATCAGAGACTGGAATATACCCTCACAGAAACTGACATGATGCAGGATCATTCATCTTCGCGTCATTCCTTGTGTGGATTGTGTGGAGGACAATGAAGAGGGCGGGGCGTATGAGAAGGGAAAGGGAGTCTGGCTACCAAGGCGACAGGCCAGGTGGCATTGGCTCAAAGATTCCCTTCTTCAAGGGATCTAGCGGATGGGAAAACCTCGATGGACGACGAAGCGAACCACCTCAGTACGAGAAGGGACAGCGAGGAACACTACGCCTGGACACGGGGTTCTATGGCCCCGACGGCAAACCCGCTCCCTACGTTACCAACGGCACATATCCTGCCAACTACACAATGTCGCCAGCTGATAATCACGCCAGCCCCATTCACCAGAGTCCTACAGGCACCATCCCCATGAGGATGAACAATGTCAGTGGGCAAGGCACATACAACAGTCAACAAAACCCGTTCAGCAATCAACAGAGCGCTTACACGAGCCAAGTCGGCACGTATGACAGCCAAACCGGGACATACATCAGCCACGCGCCTAGTGGGTCCCTTACTCACATTATCGGACAGTACGGCAGCCCGACAGATCCCAACCTGACATTAAGGTCAGGCGTGGGCGCCGGTGCGTACTTCAACCAGTCTGAGCTCGCCCGCCAGCCCTCGGATGCCTATGACCCGGCTAGGCGTCAAGTCAATCGGGCCAGCGAGCTTTCGTCCATCTCTTCTGGCTTCGGTGATGGTGACATTATTGTACCCGGAATGCCTGGCATGGTGCTCCAGCCGCCTCCCCCAGTGTCACAGTCACTGAGAGCCAGTCAGAACGGCGTCGGTCGCTTCTCATGGATGAGCAAGACGAACCGTGAAACAGTATACACAGAGGCCAGCGAGGACCTTCCAGCGAGGTTCAGGACGGTCGACAGCTGGGTCAACCAACAGACCGGCCGCGTCAAAAGAGCACAAGCCAGGCCGGAGACGGACGAAGACATCCCGCCCGTGCCGGGTCTACCGGCCGGGACAGGCCGAAACGGCATGCCGCCTGAACCCCAGTTTACCATGATGATGCCGGACGGGGAGGTCCCCCGGCGGCCGGATTTGGGGCCGAATGCGTAGTAGCTTCGCCCAACAGACGTGACCCGGACACAACACACACAAGAGGCAACTTTTCTTTGTTTTCATACCCAAGCATGGCGCGGATTAACAGGATTCGAACGAGGTGGAAGGGAGGAAGGGCAGTGGGAGGCTGGGAGCGGGTTGTAATACCAAAGGTCATATCACATACACACGCTTTGACACAAAGAGAGAGAGCGAGAAAGAGACGGGAGCCGAGAGGCGATCGCTTTGTACAAACAATACTTTTTCACACACACAAACACAACAATATGTACCCATACGACTTCTGCAAAATGCTTCCTTCTTCAAGCCTGGCGCTTGGGTGGCTCTGCGGAGTTAGACATCTTTCACATAGCGCGTGTTCTTTCTTTTCCCCATTGTACAGATATGTTTTGAAGGAGAGATGTGGGTGGCTGTTGGGGGAGTGTTGAGGCCGGAGTGCCAAGACATGTGGAAGGTGATGATGGTGTATGTTGTAGTATAGTGAGTGGTAGGTAGTGGGAGGTAGGATGTAATCCAAAAGTAAAACAATGCATACGACTTGTTAATATTGTTGATCTGTTTTTAGATACGTGAGGAGCACCCATAGAAGTGAGGACGTCAATAGGTCGATTCTCTGGGAAAGGGTTTGGATGGGGCGGAGACACTCTTTTCGCCAGACTTTGAGATCGTCAGGCACCCCGTCCCCGTTGCATAGGCGGGTGAACGCGTTCGCCGAACCTAGCCGCAAGCCTTTTGGTGGAGGATAAGTGCGCGACTTTGATATATCCCTGCGTATAACACGGTCGCGTACTTGGTAAGTCGATGGGGAAGAGATCTCTCTAGTGGCTTGGGGGGTTTCCCACAGCGTTACAGTGAATGTGTGAGTTACTGGGGAAGGAAAAAGCCAAGAGGTGGCCGGCATGGTGATGATGAGGCCTTTTCGCCATCGTGTGTGGCTGCGTTCCTAACCTCGTGCAGGTAGGCCAGCCCCCTCCAAGACATTTCTCGATTCACAAGTAGTAACTCTCGCTTCTCGTCTTGTCGAGAATCGAGCATAAATCTGAAAAAGAATCCATCCTCCAAATGTTTAATACGAATCGCAGTTCTGTGAAACGCCAAGACACACTTCACGAGACTTAGACGCTCGGAATCGGCGGCGAGCAGAAAGGAAACGCTGACGAAGCACTTTGGAGCGCAGCCCGACTCTTGCATTCCTTACACCATGTAAGCGAGGCCTGGCGGTGCTTTAGCCGCAAGGAAAATTGGAGAAGAGTAGAGCCCTGTCGATCAAATAAGCGAGCAGGCGAATCACTAGTAGGTAACTCAAGCTTGCACTGCAAAAGTTGCCCAAATAAGAACCTCTTGGAGAGAACCTTTTTGACAGGTTCCCACCATTGGCCGCGCGTTTTCGGAAGGGAAACGGCACGGTTTCCAATGGTAAAGAAAGCCGTTACACCATCCCTCGGAACGGAAAGCACCTGCACAGCCGCACGCTACGTACCTGTCTCCTGGCGAGCTGACGAATCGGCGGGCTGGCTTTGCACACTTTCTTGTCAACGTCCTGGGGCGTTTTAGAGACCGGGAAATAATGTGGTGTGGCGGAGCGGGAGTGATGTGGGGACTGAACCCGAGGCTTATGACCAACCAGAGGGGCTAGCGGGGCAGCTAGCGGGGCAGCTTTCGAGGTACCTACGTTACTGGGGGAAGAGTACGGAGTACATTTTTTCCCCGCTGCTTTGACCTGCATCTGCCACCATGCAATGCGTTAGACTACTATTTCGTTTAAGTAAATTTAATTCCCGCTATCTATTTTTTTTCTAGCTACTTTATAAATCTTTATCTTTTTTTTTAAAAAAAAAGTAGCTCAATTGTTTTTATATAAAATAATTAAAAAAGAACTTTTTAAGCATAGTTTAAATTTAGTAAACTTGAGGGTAAAAACTTATTTAAATTGTTTTTTTTAACTTCATTTAAAATTTCAAGATAAATACTATTAAAGAAATTACTAAGATTATTTTTAAATAAAATTATTTAAAGTAAAAATTTACTAAAGTTACTATTGGATGGGTCTCGGGTATTATACTTAGACTTCTTGTATTAAGAAGATTGAGTGAAATTAACGGCCTTGTCGCTAGACTCCCCCTCGCTAGTACAGTGGATACACCCGTGGCGATATACATGTCGACGATGTATTGCCGTGTTCTCAACCTTTAAGTCGACTTGCGACTTATCTACGCTGTACAGAACTAGCTTGAGAATCTTAATGCCGCTCTCTCGACTGGCGCTAGTCGCAGTGGCTAAGGATACCCAGCTCCTACCTGACTATTACCTTGGCCTTGATCGACGACTGCATCGTATCCGCTATGCTACTTCCCAGGTTGCGAGTAACATATCATTCTTGGTAAGATATTCAATCCAGCATACCCCTACGCAAGAAATCGAAGAGAGTCAAGTTGAACTGGTCAGATTCCTGCTGCAACGGCGCCCAAATAGCACAGTGTGGCCGATAAGGAGGCCAAATTCAAGTGAAAGGGAGTTGGATGAACTGGGTTAGGTTTTCAAACTTCTTAAGACAAGACTAGATTCGCGGATCTGTTGCCACGTTCAATGATTAGATCTCCACCGACTTTGTCGCAGTTACCTTTACTTTTTTTTTTTTTTTTTTTTTATAGCAATTTTCACGTAAGTCGTTCACCTTTTAGGAGAAGATAACACGAGTCCTCGTTTTCGTCAATCATCAAGTTCGCACGAGACATTCTTGGCTTTTCGCTCACAGAAGTAGTAGAATGATTTGTAACTTCACGAGCATCTCCGTCCGACATTTCGTCCACTTCATTACCTATGACGTGCTCGGATCCATCAATTGCCTCCCCATTACCAATTCAGCCCTCTCTAGAATCCTATTCTTGTAAATTGTCATACGACCTTCGACAGGTGTCTATGTCTCTAGTGCCTTCTTTAGCATGGCAAGCAGTGGATGTCAAGGCGCGTGCCATAGGTGCCAACGCTAGCCCAATCAAGAATCCGCATAAGCTCAGAGCGACGTTCGCCGTAGTTCGGGGTCTTACGGCTTTTGCTCTTCAAGCTGGGCCGCCAACAGCAAATACATTCAACAATGATATCAGACGCTTCATTCAGACGCAGATCTGAGGAGGAGGCAATGGTCCTTGTGGCGATCAGTTCCTAGTCGCTACGCGAGGGACGAAATCAGCATAGTCATCTAAGTTATGAGTCTGACTTCCAGTATCTTGGAGCACTCTGCAGATAAAATTCTGCGACACATGGCGGAGCGTGAGGAGCGGTTGCTGAAGCGGGTTCGGCTGGCCTGAGTATCATTGACTTATACCCACACCTCGCAATTACCGTTCATTGGCTATAATACAGCTCATGGTTGAATAGACTACAACAATGCATTCAGTCCTAAATAAAATTTGTCAGCAGCTTTCAATCATCAGGAAATCTACCTAAATGGCTCTCATGTCGAGTCTGGTAGCATTGCTATAAAAGACCGTTGCCATATCCATGCCACAACGGAACGTGCTCTATGGTTAACTTCGCCTGACCAAGGAAGACAACTTTGGCTGCATTCCGGACGAAACAATGTCTTCTGCCCAAACTAAATTCTCCTCGCTGCTTGAGGCCCGGTACCAAGATGGCAAATCTTTCGGGCTTGACGGGCCCCTGAACCCGACAATCGAGCTTGTACTGCGTCGCAAATCACATCGCAAATTCCTCCCGACCCCTCTCGCTCCGGGTACGCTCGAAAGTCTAATCGCTGTTGGCTCTAGCGCTTCTACATCTTCCCTCCTTCAGACCTGGGGCGTCGTGGCCGTTCAAGACTCGGAGCGTAAGAGCAAGTTAGCTACGCTGGCCGGCAATCAAGACTTCATCCGCCAAGCACCTCTGTTCTTAGTCTTCGTCGCCGACTTGCATCGTATCAGCAAAGTCTGCGAAAAAGCCGGGACGAAGGACGCCGGTTTAGAGAAGCTGGATATGTTCATCATGCCGACAATCGATTGCGCCCTCGTAGCGCAAAACATCAGCATCGCGGCGGAATCTCTCAATTTAGGAATCTGCTACGTTGGCGCTGTCAGAAATAGCTGTGCCGAAATCTGTGATTTGCTCAGGCTTCCGCATCGCACGGTTGCGTTGTTTGGCATGGCCGTCGGCCACCCGGATCCTACTGAGCACGCCTCTATCAAGCCTCGCCTCGGGCTGGATGCCGTTTTGCACCACGAGGTTTGGAATGATGAGGATGAGCAGGAGCGTTTGGAGTCGTACAATAAGGCTTTGGGTACTTTTTATGAGTCAGAGGGCAAGTCAGGACGAAGAACGTGGACCGAATTCACTTCACGATACTTTGAGTCCGGCAATCTCGATGGCCGCGAGAAAATGCGCGAGGTCATCATGCAACGTGGTTTCCACATTCAGTAAAGCAACATTATGTACTTGACTATGCTTAGATTAAACTAAAAGCCTTTACTTGTTAAACAAATTCTCTATATTGAGTTCTTTTTTGTACTTATTTTTGAGTAATAATTTTATGATATTAAAATAAAATTACACATTTTTATTGAATAACAAATAATATTTATTAACAATTGACTTTTATGTTAATGAAGATTAAAAACATATACTTGAATATTCGTATCGACTAACTATCTAGGTATGCTCACCCCGATCCCCCGCGGAAGCACTGTCCTTAAAGCGGCGGGTGATCTGGGTACCCTTAACGCCACGGTAGCACGCCTCTAGGTGGCTTGTACATTCGGCTAATGGGACTTCTAAGTGGGTGGCGCATGTGCCACGCTTCCATCTTTCTCCCAAGTCCCTCCTGCTGCAAGTTCGGTGCGGTACCACAGCTTCTTTCCCACCCCACGCTTCCATTCTTCACGACACGAACCGGTCACTTTTGCCAAACCAGGCTTCAACCTTTTCGCACAGCGGGGTGCCCTGTTCCTGTACATACTTGGCTTCTAATCATTTTGCCTTTGCTGTACCTCATCTGATCAAGCTTACGATAGCTTCTATTGTCACTTCATCTCCCTTCTATAACAGTATACTTTTGGGTCTTTTGCTTACCTACGTAGTGGGGCTCTATACCGCATACCTTAGAGTCCGCGGATAGATTCGAACGTCTGCGTACAGGACTGGGTATATTATGGAGCAGTGACCTATCCCTTGTCTTTGGGTTCCAGAACATGCAAAATAAAAAAAAAGCCAAGGCGGATGGGTAATGGACGGATTCAAGACTCAGCCCACTTGACCACGCACACCCTTGAGGCCCAGCACACATGCCTTGCCAGCCTGACCCTTCTTATGAACGCTGTGTCCCCCTCCCCCTCCTCCGAAACACCTTCAAGCGGCGCAGGAAACGTCACTTCACTACCTCAACACCAAGACCTTCAATAAACTCACCTCAACTTCTTTCTTCGAGCGAGCACGTCGATCGCTAATACAGCCGTCGAACGCCGCCCAACATGCTCGACGAAAACCTACCCACTTTCCACTTCCGCCCCTCCTCCGATAACCCTCAGAACACCATTCTCTACTTTACTCACCAAGGCTCCGACCCGGTGCCAAATTACGTTCTCAAGCGTGCCGACCCCGCCAACCCGGTCGCCCGCAACAAGTACGCCGCTGCTCTCACCGACATCGCTTCCCAGCAAATCATTTACGCCGAGGTCCTCGTCGAGCCGGAATGGACGCAGCCGACACTCTCAGCCGCCGAGGTCCGCGTCCAAAATGGCACCCCGGCCCCGCCACAACCCATCTTGCCCGACCAAGTCACGCTCCAGCTATACAATCCGGACTCGCAGGTCGTCATCAAGATGAAATCCGGAAGCTGGGGCAAGTCCGACAGCTGGGAGTTTGAGATGCCCGAGCAGAGCTTCCGCGCGCCGAGTGCCAGCCTGCTCGATCGATCCTCTGATGATCCACCTATTAGCGATACCGTCCCCAAGGTCGTGTTCCGCTGGAAACGAGACGGCAGATTAAGCAAGGATATGACGTGCTACATGGTGGGCAAGAGCGTCGCTGGCAAGAAGAGCAAAGAGCCTGATATCACGGTCGCCATGTTCAAGGACACAAAGCACGAGAGCGCCGTAACCATCTACGAGCCCAACCTGCAGCGTGTGGACGTGGAAGACCGCAAGGGACTGGACATTGTCCTGCTACTCGGCGCCGAGGTTCTCCGCGACCTGTTCCTGAACCCCAGACAGAACGTCTTCAACCTGACGGCGACGCCGCCCCCCACGACCGGTCGGCGCAAGAACTCCAAGCCACCTCCGGTGTCCATGGCGCCGGCACCGCCCGCGGCTGCCATGTCCGGCGCCATCGGCAACAAGCCTGCCTCGCCCCCTGCACAATCCATGAACAATGGTCCTCCCAGGCCCAATGCTCGCCAACAGTGGGAGATTGACAACGAGACCAAGCGTCTACAGGCCATGGTAGCACAGGAAGAGCGGCAGGCGCGCGAGCGCGAGCGACGGGACGCTGAGGAAGCGAAGCGCATAAAGAAGATGCTCGATAAGGAGGAAGCCGATCGCCGACGCAAAGAGGCCGAGATCGAGGCCGAGACGGAGCGACTTCGCAGACTCTATGGCGTCCCGCCTAGTCAGTCGAACCCGAATTTACCACCGCGCCATCAGCCGCCGCCCGGAACCACGCCGGGCTCGTGGCACGTGGCGCCGGCGCAGCCACCGCGGCCCAACAGCGCGGGACCGTATAACGGGCCCCCGGGGACCAGCGCGTATCGTCCGCAGGTGCGGTTTGCGCAACCGCCGCCGACGATGAGTGGTGGTGCGTCGTCTCAGCCGCAACAGCAGCAACCGTCGCAGTCGCAGTCGCAGCAGGCCGGCCGTGGGAAGCTTCCGAACCTCATGTCGGGACTGCTTCAGGGACCTTACGCGAACCCGGCTGCCAGCGTCAGCAACTTCTTCCATCGGGACCGGTCTGAGGAAGAGGAGAAGAAGCGAAAGGTCGCTAAGAAGAGGAGTGTGCATTTCTGAAGGAGTACTGTAGTCTCACAGGATGTGCGGAGGGGTATCAACTCCCCTTCTTCACTCTGCCGATGTCGGTGGCATCTTCTTTTGGCGTTTGGAGGGATTATTCGAGCATTCGTTAGCATCCGCCATGTACCGGTGGCCTACAGAGCTAGCATGGCATGTCTTTTCACATTTGTCGGCGTCAGGAGGGGATTTCTCTGGACGGATATACCATGTATCAGTGTTTGGGCATATAGAATCACGAATTTTATGATCAAAGCATTTCAACTTTCTTTTTGAAAATCGTGTGTCGTATGGGTAGCTAGTGAGATGTACTCTATTGTTCTAAAGCTGCGAAGATGATCATCTTTGAGGCTGTGGAGATTGACGGGAAGGGTTCGCGGCTTCTCCATGAAATCATTATGTATCTATACCTTGAAATTCCGGACATCGCTGCCTATAAGACCATTACCGAGTCCCTCAGAGCATCAAGCAGCGCATATAGAAACTCCTCTAGTCCTCAACCTATTCAAGATTCTTTGGCTTCCCACCTGCATGGCCATTTCTTCAACTTGAGAGAAAGAGGAATGCGTGCACATGTTCCTTGAAAGAAGTCTGATTCATCATCTCGTTCTCTCTTTGTGTACCTACACCTTTTACTTTCCTGAAAAGGGTGCTAATAAGAGAAAGGGTTTCCAATGTAGTGGAACGTCAATCAGCTTGCCTGCTTGCGTCCCATTCCAGACAGACGGCTATGAAGGTTGCAATTAGATGGTCAATTCTTATACATCATTAATATGCCGCCTCCTTATTCGGGTACAAAGAAAGCCTTCAAACATGACTGAACGTGTACGAACGTGGCCGTTCGCGACTGTTCATGGTCAGGGTGCTGGGGATGTTTCTGGGGCATAATGGGCCTTCCTACTTCCCAGTCTTCTTACGATGATCCAAGATTCAAGAGAGTTTACAATTTCATCTACTCGAACGGCTACTATATTCCTCTCCTATCACGTTTGCACGTATTCGTTCCTGAAGAAGTCACATGGCGAGAGCCATGATGGCAGACAGAAATGGAAGGGAAGGGGTGATGCGGCAGCTGTGTGGTCTGTGCACTCCGTCACCCTTCAAAAGCCAACGTCATTCTTCGGCAGAACCCTTTTCCGAGCTTCCAACGCTCGGGCCAGGACCAATCACGCTAGCCACCAAAAATTCTCATGATGGGTCCAGCAACTGCTATCTCTGGCCCAGCTGTTGCTGAACATCCCCTAGCTTAACACCAAGTTCGACTCCATCCCAACAACGACTTCTCCTCCTCCCTTTTCGACGACCAAGGTCACTTCCTCGCCAACGAATTCGCCTGCAAGCTCCAGCGTCATCTCTTCGTCTTTGGCTGGAAAATAGCATTCCGTTTCGGCCATCAACTGCTCGCGAACCTCCAACAGCTCCAGAAGCTCGGATTCTACGTCGATTACCCGGTCGCCTTCAATCTTCGACTTCACACGCCCTCGGGCTACCTACGCAACCGTCTCATCGAGATCATTGCGAACGCGCACCGCGTAGCCGATACACAACCGAAAAGAAAGGAGCGCCGCTCTTAAACTACAGCCACAATGGTTCAACTTACCGAGGTTGAGGACGAGCACTTCCAGTCCGGCCAGGCCGGCCCCATCGACGACGACGCCGATTACTCCGACACTGGTATGTATCACTTGTTACCCTTTGAGGCATCAAGCACGTGGATGAGCGTTCGATGATTACTACTATCGCAAAGCCCTCCCCTCCCCTTCTGTCGCATCCGTCACAGGAAACCTCCAAGCTGATCAAAACCCACCCAAGATTCCGAGATCTCTGAGGACAGCGACTACAACCCCCGCGACGAGTCCTTCGCCGAGCGCCTATACGCCCTCAAGGACATTGTGCCCCCGACCACCCGCGGCTGGATCAGCAACAAGGTCGACTTTGGTGTCAGCGCCGTCCAGAACACGTGGTACTACGGCTCCCGCACCGTCTGGGTCGTCTGCGCCACCGCCCTCATGATTGGTGTCCCCCTGGCCACCTGCTGGGCTGAGGACCAGCAGATCGAGGGCATGGAGCGCGAGTACCGCATGCGCGAGATGGGCGGCGACGCGCTCTTGGCCGCCGGCGAGGGCAAGGAGGGCAGCACGGCTGAGCAGGTCGGCATCGCTCTCGACCGCTCCGAGGCCAAGCCCGCTCTGTAAAATCACCAAACTTTCTCGAACACAACACAGAATCAAGAAAGGCAAAGAAAAGACAATGCAAAAGCGAAGCCGGAAAGGAAAAACCGAGGCTAGCTTATCGAAAGAAATCCGGATCTACGCGCACCAAAAAAAGCTGAACGACTGTACCACACACCAACCAACCCCTACTTCTTCCCCCTTTCTCCTCGGGCAGATCTTATTTTTGCGTTTTGCGCTTCGGAAACTGTATATCAAGACAACTCTCTCACACACACCACGACAACGGAACTTTGCATGCATTGCGGTCATGGATGGCTTTGGCGGGATGGGGGTTTTCCCTGCCAAGTTTTGCTTGTACTATAGGAAGATTTTCATGAGGGCCGCGATAGGAATGGCCGTTTGCAATCATGACAAATTCTAATACCCATTCCGTTCCCTGGCATGTTTCGCGTGATTGTTCAATGGGTTTTGCTACCATGTGTACTTACTCTTTGTTTGAATTATATCAGCTAAAGTTGGTTCGCATATTGCAGCATCACGTCTCTACGCAACCTGGGTAAAAGAGATTCCCCCGTCTTCAACAGTCGAATGCGGAACGTGGGCCTTTAGCTTAGGTTGTTCTAATCCCGAATTCTCTTCCAGAACGGGTTTGCTTTGGCCCATCCGCTCACCAGTTGAATCATTGCGGTTCCCAGGTCTGAGAGCGCTCGCCCTTTGGAGTCAGAAACACTTCGCATCCCCCGCGGTAGAGGCGAGTCCTTCAGTAGGGTAACGGAGAGAGGGTGATCTGCCCCATCGTATCGGCAAAGTGTGTCCCCTTTTTCCCCTCTCTCATTATGTAATCCTGATGGCTATCAGGTCTGTTGCATCGAGGCATTCCGTCACATAATCTTCAATGCCGGCGAGACACCAAGTTGGGGGGGGGGGGGGGCTTGGTCTCAAGGCTCGGTTGGGTCCAAGAGACCTTGCCGTGCGTTCGACTCGCGCATGATCGATGGGCGGCCTCTGAGAAGTATTGACTCTTCTCTGAGGCTATTTCAGCCAAGCTCGCAAACGTTTCCCATGGTCTCATATGCCAGGCTGCCTTGAAGATGCCATGGGAACACTGTAGCTTGGAAGATCTAGGTCGGGTCATCCTGTGAGGCAGTTGAGGCATGTCATTTGCCTCAAGGAAAGGGTTTTTCCGAATGATTGATGTGGTAGAAGAGTGAGACTGATGCTGTAAACTAAAGTACAGGTTGGTGCTCAGCAAAATATTTCTCCATCGTGACCTTGCCGGTGCAAGCAGCTTCACACACAGCTGCATGCCATCGCCCCACAGTGTTTACTCACCAACTCCGCCTTTGCTTGATGATGAAGATTCTCTAGCATGATAACTACTTCTCCACGAAATTCTCCTACAGTTCCTTCGTCTCTTAGAAGATGAAGTCGCGCCGAGATATGGACAAGGCTCTCCTCATTATAGTATTTGAAAATACGATGCGTATCTGTGCCCGATCCTGACCTCGGTCCATCCATCTGTGAACCACGAGCCCCGAGAAGTATAAATGTATTTTGTCTAACAAGCACAAACCCTCTGGAGGCCTTCATTTTGCTCTGTTCGATTCCAAGTTCGAGTTAATATCGCTATAGTTCGATGACTTCGGGTTGTCCCTGCTTCTTCAAGGCATCCTGAAGCCGTGATACCTTGATCTGCAGAGCAACATTCTCACTGATGCACTTCATGTTGGATCCTCGAAATTCTTTGATTGTCTGAGCATTAAGGTCGTGACAAGCCTTCAGTTCCCTCTCGCGCATCTTCAATGAGTCCGAGGCAGCCTGACAATTGTCTTCAGAGTCCTCAAGATCCTTTTCGAGAGTGCTGAGCTGCTCCTTATGGCCGCCCCTTAGATATTTGATGGTCCTCATCAAAGGAGACAATTCGGTACTCAAGTCAAAGGAAGCGTTGGACGACCGTTCGAGTTCTATCTCCGCATTCTCCAGTTCCTGTTTGGCATTTTCAAGATCTTTTTTGGTATCTTTTAGCTCTTGCTGAAGTCCATTCACCTCAACTCTCAGGGCAGAAGTAATCCTGTCGTAAGTCGTCGTGGCTTCACGGTGACCACGTATAGACGCGTCTCTCTCAGATTTGACTTTCGAAAGAATCTTCTCGTGGTCCTTTCTAGTCTCATCAAGCCGCCGTAAAAGATGATCTCGTTCAGCTTCGACATCCGAAAGCTGCTTCTTTGCTTCTCTTTGCTTCTCTTTGCTTTGATGTGAAGTCGAACGTCATGTCCTCGCCCAGACGGATCCTGGCGACTCCATGCGCTTCAACGTTGACCTGGACCTCATTGAGTCTTCGACGCTTCTCAAGGGGAAAGTCTGCATGGTTCAGCTGATTTTGGGATCCAGAGAAGGCCGGAGGGCACCATGTGAGCGAATGACCAGCGCCACTGGTTCCGAAGGAATATTGTAGGCCGCCTGGCCGACCAAGCGGGGTGACCTGATCTTGCTGGCTCATGGTAGGTAAGGCTTCGCTTCGGTTTATTGTGTGAAGATTCTATCCTTCGATGTGACTCTGCCTGATTGTGACTTGTGAGAAGGCCAGTCGATATGGCAGCGAGACATCTAATGTTCAAATGGTCAGCATGGATTGAGAGGAAATTCCAGGGAAATTCCAAGGGAACGAAATAGAAGGAGAGCTTACAAAATGTCAATGCAAGTTCGTCAAGAACAGGCAATGTGTCATAGTAGGTCCTCTTGCATTCAAGAGGGGTCAATATTTGGAGGTTCGGTCGGTGTTCGTCGAGATAGGTTCGGGACAAGTATCTCGCGTACAATGCTTCGAACGACTCGATCGACGGGAGACGCCACGGACCTGAGTAGATCGAGTTGCACAACTAAAAGAGATAGAGACGGAGACTGGTGGTGTTGTTTTGTAGAAACAAAAGGCGGACAACTGGTGTGGGCGAAGGTGAGAGGCAGCATCAGGGTCAAGTTGAGAGGGAGCAAGTGGCAACTCTCGACGCTGGTTAACTTCAGGTAAGTACCAAAAAGGAAGGGAGGAGAATCACCTCGATGGATCCTCCTTCCAAAATGCAATACGTGTGCTGCCACCTTCTTCAACTCAGCTCCTTCGTAGTTTGAGTGAGGTACTCTTTCTTTCTCAGTGACGGCCTCTTGATCATGTGGATCGTGCATGCCTCCTTCAGCACCAGTACCTCATGCACCGCTAATCTGAATAGTGCTTTGGTCTTTCTCTTCGCGTGTCAATTGTTAATGCGGAACTCACCCCTCGAGCATTCGTCCAGGTAAGCTGATGTCAGTGCAAGTACTCTTTCCTTCTCGTAATCTTCCCGGTTACCACATGAAGAATGAAGCTTCCCTTTTTGCGCGTAGTCTGTGGCCAAAAAATTGCTGCAGATTGCAGACTTCTCATAGCAGTAGAGGAGCCTTAACGGGCAGGAAGCTGCCTCCCATGGTGGAACTGATCTCACTGGTCCCGGATGCTAGTGAGTTGGTCGAATTGCAATGCCTCTCGCAAAACAGGACGAGCACACTTTCTCTTCGCGCTAGTGAACAGACCAAGACAGTGATGGCAAGGATTACGACGGATAGCTTGGATGCTTCCAGTTCCTATCAGAGTGCATGTAGCTGGTATTACGGGTTATCCCGAACAAGGGACGCAACCACAATCGTCCAACTTGAGCTGAAAGGTGTCTACATGTATATTTATACCTCCCATCCAGCAACGTACGACAACTACTATGAAGCAAAAGATACAGACATAGCAAAAGAAGAACAGATTGCCCAAAGGCGGAATCGAACCGCCGATCTTCTCATCGCGTTCACATATCAACCCTGGATCGCGAAATCTGGAGGAAGAACAAGGTACTAGTGAGACGCTTTACCACTGAGCCATTCGGGCATTTTGTATCTGTTGATGGAATCGTCGATCGGTGAATGGATTTATATTGCTGTGGACCTCTCTCGCGGAAGAGGAGCCCTAATGGCGTCGAAGAATCCGAGAAAAACCGTGGAGTTTCGACGACGTAGGTGGGGACCTAGCCGGCCATATATGGAGTGGACGAACTCGCCCAAACAGGAAAGTCGGTGATGGAAATGCAAGGGGGTGTTTCGCTGGGTGACATGGAGTTTGGAATGGAGGCATACTTTAACGGCGAGCCGGACAGAAATTTTCATGGGTGACAGGTGAGAGAAATCTCTCACGCAGACTTCGATATGAAGATTCGGCCCTGTCGGCGATCCCTACATCGCAAGGCGCCCGCCGGTCTCCCAGTTATGAGACGGCACCTATCCGACATATAGACACAGGAAACAACATATACCAAGCTGAACGACTCATCAATGTTCAAAACCAGGCCCTCCAAGACTGTGAGCCAGTACGTCGGCAACTAAACCATCCCATCCGTAAACCCAGCTTCATCAGACGAGTCACATCGGGGACGCACATCTCATGCTGATCTTATAGACTTATAACGACCACTTCTCAACCAACTTCATGCGCGCGATTCAGCTCATCATTCGAGTTTTTGGCAGATTCGCGAGCTGATATGGACATCTCAGTCTCAACTTACCTCACCTTACTCGCGAGCAGCAAAAGCATAAACTTTCCACCTTGGTAGCAAGTTTCGGCGAGAAAGAAGTACCTGCCCATCCCAGAAACCACTTAACCTGCGACTTGACGTCTCATTCCCCAGACCCGATTCTACCAAGAAAATCACATTTCAAAACACCAAACGCCCGTCAAAAAGCGAAGATCAATCGAACATGTGGGGTGAGGAGTTGACCAGAGAAAAATATCGGCGTCCAAAAAGAAAAAAGTCTTTGTGCGCGAGAGATAGTCACCCGGAAGCCGAACCCAAAAAATCGTCGTGGTCGGAACTATGAGGTAGCTTGAACCAAGCTTCTTAGAAAAAAAAAAAAAGAAAAAAAAAACGTGTCCGCTTACCATGATGAGAATCAACGCCCCGTCTATCCGCGACAGCCCAGCCTGAGCGGACGGCACCGTACCGACCTACATACGGACCTGCGGCTCGTTGTGACGACCGTGCCGGCCACAGTAAGACCCCCCGGCCTAGCCAACCCACCATCTGGTCAAGCTTGGTTCTCAAGCAAGGAAGAAAAAAAAATGTCAAAGTATTCAGACGCCATGTGGACTTTCCTCGGACTACCGTCAATCCGGTTCATTCTCTGCCCAAAGCCACCTTTTTGTCACGAGAGATAGGGATAGAGAGGGAAAAGCTGGTAGGTCAAACTAGGGCAAGCTTGTCTATTGTTCACGTATACGATACCGTACCCCCTTCACCCTTCGACTCACCTGTAACCTCTTCACCCTCCAAAACCTCGTATCCAGATAAGATGGTAAGGTCTCCTCCCGCACCATTGCCCGCAAACAAGCCACACCACACACACATGTCACCTATACATCCCAGGGTAAACAAACCGTTCCAACCCCCCTTCTTCCCCCTTGAGCTTCGGGGCTGACTTGCGCAAGGGCTAGCCGTCGTTGACATCAGTATAAACGAATAAATCGCCGCCGGGGGGGAGAACGTCAACCGACCCTCGCTCCGTCCCGGCGTCACACCGGAACCTCCTCGCCGAAACCGCCCCCAACATCCCGTCGTCCCAAAATGGGCAATATAAGGAATTGGAAACAGGGTCCCTTTCTTCCCCCTCTTCTACGCCATTACGGGTGCATTGTCCGAGAAAGCTCCAGGGTCCAAATGAATGGAAACCTGCTCATCACTCCGTACCATTCTGCCCTCTATCGAATTGATTTTCAGTGTGTTCTTGCTCATCCTACCCTTCCATTTCATCCACACGAACTTCTCTCTCCCCCCCACCAGACTGAGACATCTAGAACCCGGCCCTCCGCCTCACCCGAATACCACCCACATACACAACATCCCGGTTCTCCCATCCAACCCCCAAACCTCGCCCGTCCGTCCCACCACAAGGGAAAAAACCAGGGTCGGTGAACCAGCTTGCATCGCCAGCTCAGGGAGGAACGAACCAACGAACGGGGTGGAAGTGAGCTTTCTACAGTACGGAGTACGAACACTCCATCCCCTTCCCATTCTCCAAGGAAAAAAAGAAAGAAAAAAAACGCCCACGAACAGCCTCACCCACATCTACTGCGTATCCATCTTCATCCGGCATCCAGCCTCGTCATCCGTCCCACCTCAATTCCTTCAAAAGATCACTCCCTCTCATTCAGAAGTTACGACACAGCGTGGCACCGAACCAGACTTCGGCTGACCTTGGAAACCGCGGAAATCGTCCCATCCTCACAAATCCTGGACCTGAGGGGTAGGCGAGATGGATCCTCCGTGCTTCTAGAAGGGCGCGGCCGCGCGAGTGCGTGTAATACTCGTATACTAGCAACATACCCTACTCCGTAGCTTTGATCCTTGATGAGATCGTCCATGTGCGTCACTTCTCTTGGCAAAAAGGACGACGCCCAGCAAAACATGCAAAGACCTTTTCATCGTGCGGTCCTCATCAGTGTATCAGGTCAACACACACTGCCTTACCTACTAAGTCCAAGGCCCGGGTAGACAGACAGTGGCCACTGAACGGTTTCTGCGCTGGGGGGGCAAACAAAGAAGAGAGAATCACGGTGGCCACGTGCAACAATATGATCTGAATCAAGTGGTGAATAAATTGATGTCAAGAATAAAAAGAGCTCCTTTTTTTTGATAGCTTCCGCGACCTCTCGCGTCGCACAGAGCAGATGCCACCCTCCCAAACCCAAGAAATATCCTGCCACCCACTCCCTGAGGTGTTGGTTACACGTTCGCTCCAAGTCTCATCAGACCACACCCTGTCCTAATACAACATGACGAACAAGCGCCTTGCTCTACTCCCCGCTTACACCCAGCGTAAGCCCCAGTTGGATAGACCCTAGATCTTCAAGAGCACAAGACTCCAGATAGCTTCGAGAAGAAAACAAAAAAAGTGCTCCATGACGGCATTTGATGGCCCGATGTCTCGTCCGGTCAAGGCTTGAGAGCTCGTACACAAAAAAAAAACAATATTTGCTCAGATCCACGTTTCGAGTTTGGACAGCCCAGGAACAGTTGCGAGACGAAACACCGTGGAGAAAACCCCCGCCCAATCGAACCCACACAATGTTTCCGCGACAGTATTCCAAAGCAGTCAGTCGTCTCTCTTCCGCGCAGCGCTATGCAGGTGAACCCCAACTCCGGTATGCTCTGGTCCTGTCGAGCTCCCAGCCCCGCATCCTACACGCGGCTGGTGTCCACTCAAATAATCGGACGGGAAAGAAGTCAAATTGAGGAAGGATAAGCTTCGAGTATGATCAGTAGTGGTATCACCCCCTAAATGATACCACCAGGCGGATCATAGCCCGTTGTCGCGCCTCTGGCTCCCAGCCCGGCACTCCCTGGTTGTTCTGACGACGCATCGACTTGTGCGTTGTTCGTTTTTCGTAACATGAACATTGGTTTCTTGCCCTCCTTATCCAGCTGCTTGAATAGGATCAGAGGTTTCTCCTCCAGCCCCAAGCACCGCTCCTGATCGCCGTAGACAATATACAGGGCGTACTGATCCCAGGGTGCATTGATTTGGTATTTTTTGAGGGCGGCGGGCAGCACCTTGTAGCACGGATCGTCCATACTGACTCGGAATGACTTGAAGATCTCGACAGATGCGTTACTCGTGCTTGGTGTATCGGGGGCTGGGGTTGGTCCGCGTTTCGGCGCCGTTTGCTGTTCCCGGCCTTTGTAACTATGGTCGTTTTCGGCAAAGGTGGATCGTGTAGAAGGCGTCGGGGCTTCGGAGCGGTCGGAGCGATAGGATCGAGAGCCCAAGGTCGCGCCGCCAAGTGTCGGAGGGGAGGTCGGCGAGGGCATGTTCGGGGAAGGATAGCCGGGAGATGTAGCCGTAGCTGAGCCATTCATAGCTGCCAGATGCGATGAAGATAACACGGCTCGTTCCGCAGCATTTGAGGGATCCAGCGTTTGCTCCATCGACCTTTCGTGCGTTGTTTGCAGGTGTGACGGCGAGTTGTTCTTTGGCGTCGTTCCTAGCATGATTCTCTTGGTAGAGTACTGCCGTTGCAGGCTCATCGACTGAGTGGAAGAGGGTGTTGGAGCGGGTGGCGATACGGTCTCGTAGCCATAGCCCTGGTTGCTGTTGTTGGAGACGTTGGGCAGTGGTTGTGATGAATCCTTTGCCAAGCGCAACGCAGGCAGCATATCCTCCCTCAGCCGTCTGAAGTCTTCGGAGAGTCGACGCAGGTCCTTCTCTACCATGCTCATTCTCTCGTCTCGTAGACGGAGCTGCTCAACCAAGTGCTTAATATCCTTGAGGGTTGCTGTCGCGTACTGGGCCTCCGCATCGGCAGCTGGGAGAGCACATGTCAGTGGATAGTCTCTGCAAAAGAAATGCGGCGTCACCTACATAACGGCACATAATGGTCGCTCTCTATTGGTATGTCCTGGGCCTTCTTTACATCATAAACGCTCTTCAGGATAGTGAGGCGATGGCCAACACTGGCAATACCCATAGACTTCAGGTCATCGTGTTGTAGGGCAACCAAGGCTTCGCCGACAATCTCGTTTTCTAGTTGAAGACGCAATCAGTCAGGTGTCACAATGCATAGAACAACAAGAAGACCAATGGGGATACGCACCAACAAAGCTGTCGGCATATTGCGCCAAACCGATTGTGCTGATGAAATCGGCGCACTCGTCGGCGGTCCACTCGGAAATGATGGTCTCGGGCAGGCGGTCGGCGCTGCTACGGTGACCGTAGGTCGTGGGCGTATGCTCGTTGGAAGAGGGGAGTTCGGAGTCGATTGGCGAGCCTTCATCGTCGGCGACAGGCGAGTTGGGCCCCAGACTGCGCTCGTATTCATCGTCGGCATCCGACTCTGCGTAAGCAGTGCCCGAATCGAAGTTCATGACTGGCAGCGTTTGATCGGCGGCTCAGTGACAGAGGAGAGGAGAAAGGGTGGAGGTAGAGGTGCGATAGCACGTTGGAGAGGCGTGGCGAGGCGACGATAGTAAAAGTCGGAACGGCAGGCGGCAATCAGAGAGAGAGAAAGCAAGGCGCGGCAAGTCGAGTCGAATCGAGAATAGGAGAGGGCAGGCTGGAAGGCGAATCGGGGTCTTGGTGTCAAGAAGCGCCGGCGGTGCCCTCAGCGTGAGGAGGTCGTGGCGGCGGCTGCGGGGGCCCGTTGCAGAAGAGATTGGAAGTGTGGAAGCAGAAGCAGCACACAAGACTGGGCTGACAGGGTCGGGATCGTGAGCATCGGTTCCTGTGGCAGCAGGTCGGCGTTTCTGTCCGACGAGTTGAGGTGAGGATGGCGATGTCAAAGGAGAGAGAAGGTGGGAGTTGAGATGCGCAACAGCGAAAGAGGCTCAATGGGGAGACACGCTACTTGGGCAGGCTAAGGTCGTAGACTGCAGGAGTAAGAGGGACGAGTCGGTTCCAAGATGGGATCGTCGTTCGGGTTCGGGCTCAGGCGAAAAGGTGGAGGAAAGCGTCTGGCAGGCCGAAGAGCCAACAGCAGAAGACTGCAGTTAGGTAAGGTAGGTAACGGCAGGGCAGTGAGGGCAGCGGGTGCGTGTTCCACTGCTTGAGGGGGAGGGGGGATTACCTAGGTAGGCAAGGTACCTAAGGACCAAACATGAGGAGTACAAGGGATTTGGTGCGGGAATCCGCTGGAGCAAAAGTAGTTCTTGTGATGTGCTCCTAAGCCTGGTGCCTTCCATGGTAAGGTACCTTTGGAAGGCTGCGTCCGCCGTTGGTAATGGAAGGTGCCTCGAGAAAATGCTGGGTCGTTTCCCCGTGCGGCGTTCAGTGGCCTGGTCCACGTCCCAGTTGGGTACCTTACCTTACGGTAGTGGAGCCGCAGGTGTGGGCGCGATCCAGGACAGCCCCCAGCAGTACTTCTGCCCGCCATCCAGTGAGAGGTGCGCCCTGTTGCCTGTGCCAGCCCGGCCCTTACCTTAGCACCTTACACAGTACATGGCAAAGATACTGGGCCTTGCCTGTAATGGTACTTACATAGTATGTCCCGGACAGAGAAGCGTGGCCAGGACAAGGAGACAAGAAGGCGGGCAGGAAACCCATGAAAAGCAAGCAGCTTCCTCTTTTCGGATTGTAATCTGCTTGGTACCTAAAGCCGTACGTCTCAGTCTAGGCGACCTAGTTGAAGCAATGTACGATTGGTACAATTTAGGCCTAGAGAAAGAGCAAGGTAAGAGACATACATCCATGGTTGGATCCACGGCCCATGGCACCGATGGCAGATGGTGTTTTCGTTTCTTTTTCCCCCTTGACATTGCATATGCAAAGCGACAAAATGATGGGCGCAAGTGACCTGGCACACTCACGGGTCACCAGGGCCAGTGGGCGGTAGTGACATGCAGATGCCGACGTCAAAAATGGTCTCCCGGCTGGTTGCGAGATGATGATGCATCAACACCACCACCACCACCACCACCGCCGCCATCATCATACGGAGTACTGAGATACTCCATATGCGCCGTGCCGCCTTGTTCGGCCCATTGCCGCGGCCACAAGAGTCTGTTAGCGCCCAAGGGGGTCATCCCTGCGCCATCCACGACATCCACAACATCCAATTGCTTCTATTGCTTGAAGATGACTCTTTGCCGTCTGCCCGCCTCCCCGCCAAGTTTCTTAGGTGATTAGGTACGATTGATTCTTTCTTACATCCAAGTATCAGCCTTTGCTTCAACGTTGGCATCTGAATCCCTGACACCTTCAACAAAGCATGCCCTGGCTTGCCTGACATATACCACACACAGTCGCCCATAGCAATTAATATGCAAGCCCCGGCTATGAAGCTGAAGCTGAAGCTCAACCTACCTTACCAACAGCACATGCCTCTCCCAGCTTCCACCAGTTCCTTGCTTCTCTCTCAGAAACAGTCTCCGCACACTGCATATTGTGTGCATGGTACCTAGTAGTGCCCAAAAGAGGCTGACGAGTTTTTCCCTCCCGCTGCATCAAACATCAGTGGCATGTTCCAGAAGCCGCGCCATCTGCGTTCCTCATCTCCCCCATGAACTTGTGCCACCCAACGATGACCAGGTTAATCAAAGTAAACAACGGAATAACTTGACAAAGGGGGAAAACAACCCCAGGTAAACAAGAGATTTTTCCAATTTTTGACGGCATGCAAAATGAAAAACGGTCCCGATATCTGCTAACCGGTGCAACATTGGCACGCTGCCCCTCTCTGTCGGTAATTGGGACCGAGCAGCCCAGCCGTTACCAATCGCTAAGTGATAAGTGGATTATCCTCCTCGACTCTCCCGTTTCCCGTTTCCCGTTCAGTCCAAGGTCCACCGTCCACCCCTCCAAAACGCCGTGATGCCCTGCCACCGTAACTTCCGGAATATGAGAGATATCAGAGAGGGAAGTCACCTCTCAGGCTGGTCTCCCAGACTCTCATAGCAGCAAGGAAGAAATACGACCATTCGATACCCCGTAGTATCTTGCCTTATCTCGCCTTTCCCCTTTGAAATGACGACCTTCATGTCAAATACAATCTGATTTCTCGCCAGGGTAAGCGACGCGGCTATGTACCTACATCCTATCTCAATCTTGAGGTACCTTACCTTGAGGTAGCTCAAGTATCCCGTACGAATACCCGACGGCAACGGGGTGAGTACCTCCTTACTTTGACTTTAACCTCGACAGACAAACACAAACACCAGGGCCGAGCACTGAGCACGAGGAGGGGGAGTCAGGAACCCGCAGCGAGAGCCATGCGGTGAAGTCATTATCAGATGCTTTTGCCGTTTCTTGTTTGCTTTACCGTCCAAGCACCGTCAAGTCCTCCACCAACCACATTGCTCAATCCCAACCACTGCCCGCTCTTGTCTTCCAGTCTGTATGGAATGACCTGGATCACCTTCCCCTCCGTCGAGACACACGAGTGACGAACCGCCGTCCTGGCTTGCCTGACCTTAACATCTCTGCTAACCTCAAACATCCCAGGAACCTCGGCCAACCGCGTGCCACACATCGTGGGAAGGGGTTCCCGACCTAAACCTGCTTCACGGCAGAGTGTCCCGACCGTCCAACCCCCCGCACCTTTCATTCGCCCAAACCGCCTCTTCAGGGTTGATACCGGCAAGCGTCAATATGCAAACTCTCTTCCAGAAACACGCCAGCTACCTCATCTACACGACCTCACCTTGTAAAACGTTGCTTAATCGACCCAGTATTCTCCTTAGCTGCTCCATCCATAGCTCTACGTTCGGCTACCCCCAAATCCAATTGGCAAAGAAAATTGCCCGACTGGACGCTGAACTTAGCAAGCCGCCTATGCTATCGCCCTAGTCACAACTCTACCTTCTACTGTACGAATACAGCACTCAGCTTGCCGTGTCCAATGAGCCCGAATTGACTGGACAAGTGACATCAAGAGCGTCCGGGTACCGGCTTCCTTACTGTCCAAACGGAACAAATGGCGCTCTACGAATACCTTACGTTTCCATTGTGCATACTGGATGGGGTTCCGTCAGTCTAGGCCTCCATCGCCCACAGTCTACGCGTTCAACGCCTTGCAACCAGTTCCCACACTTCCCCAGCTGCTCCATTTGACTCATGACGATGGGTACGGGTAGCCTTGTACCAGCACGCAAATGAGGCATTTTAGACAACAGAGACGTCGTCGCCGTCATATCGAAAGGCCCAGCCAGCGATATCAATATGCGCGACTAATCATCTTGGGGGCCTTCCATCATTTAACATTATGGATAAGCACCCACCCGCCGCCGCCGAAGCTTCCAAGCTTGTCAACTTAGGTCCAAGGCCGCCGTCTTGGCACTCTATAGCAAACCTGCTGTCATCACGTCCAAGCTACCATTTGCAGTCCCTTGGACCCCCAATTTTAAAAACAGAATTCCCTACAGGGCTACGCAGATTAGCCTCAGCGAGGCTGCCAGCGAGGGAAGGCGAATCGACCAAGGCCCCGATAAGAGCACCCGTCAGATTGAGCCCTGCGTCGATCATCCTCGGCTCCCTCTGGGCTCTCGACTCATCCTCTCCTCGTCCTTTGACCTCTCTGGCCGTCTGGCCGTCGTCCTTACTCTCTGTGTACAGAGTACGGCTACCCATCCAACATTGTTCATCGCAACTCTGTACCGCGGCACAGCCACCCCGTTGTTTCCTCAACATCGTCCAAATTTCCTCCTTACCTGGCCACTTATCCTCTGCTGAAATATCCAGCTTTGATGAATAACATCCAAGAATGTGACTTAACTGCATCCCACTTCCCAGGAATATAGGTCCAGTCACGACACAATGGAGAGAAGAATATCAAACGGCCCCCAATGACACTCCGCTTGACGTGTGAGTTTCAGGCTCTCTGCCGATCCATCCGGGCAGGACGCTAGAGAACATCCACATTCGTCTATCGCGAACCTGTGTCGCGTCGAGGCTAGCTCTTGCGGTGCGGTGTCACCAATCCGCGCATGGCAAACGTTTCGCGCCAATAGACGCGCTACCGAGAGGATAAACACCAAATTGGGCTGCGAAGATAGACCTAGGACCCAGCCTTCCGGTTATCACATTTGGCATTCTCTCAGAAAGTCCGCGGAAGTTTCTCTCTGTCGTTTGATTCTTGAGAGCGCCCACATCGAACCTCTCGGACCATCTCGTATAAACAGCGCTATCCCAAACCGACAACACCTCTATCATGGCGTTCATGTCACCATCGACCCTAGTGCATGCTACATTATCCCGGAGCATTGCACGACCTCTTGACACCTCGCCCACTATTGTCTGGTATTAGATATGAGACGCAACCTTTTCCGTCTCACATTATCTTCGAGACAGAGTGAGGAAGACCGACACGCCAGATCTTATCGTTCATCTCAAAAACTCACTTACACCGTCCCCGTCCGTCCATTCATGGCTCACAATGTGATGCCCCTCAGCATTGGAGAACTCACTGTTCATACACGAAGCATCCGGAACTTTCTCCGGGACCCCATCGCAGTGCCCTCCTGAGGAAACAAGTCCCATCATCATTTCCCAAGAGTCCGAGACCCCGTTAGCAAACATCCATCAACCGGTCACCCGTCGCACTGAACCACGGCCGAACGCACATCCAAACCTAATATGGAAGAACTGGCTCGTTGCTTACTCCGGAAGAGGCAAGGACAACTGCCCATCTCTTCTACAGGTCCCCTCTCTTGTCGAAAATCCCACCCCAGATAGACTTCGACGCTAGAGCCTCTCCGATCTGACGCCCGCCGCTCCCCTACGCCAGGCTTACACTACATCAATAGGATCCGAACGACGGCTCGCTCGGCCGAGTCCCTCCTCCAGGGCCCCTTTTCTTTTTCTGTTTGCCGCCTCTTTGTATTTAAGCTCGCAGCTCGCAGCTCAACCGCAAATCATCCGCCATCATTCCGAGCGACCCCTCTTGACCACGGACTTGAGTTGCTTCCCGAAGCTAGAGCGTCCGTGCCGACATCGCCCACAGAATCCGAACCTACCAACCAAGTATCTACCACTTCCCGGGTTTCCCAGGTGCTCAAAGTAAACCTTGACATATCATGTGCGTGTGCGCTCTGTCATCTCAAGATCTTGATGCCTCTTGGTTCTTTTCAGGAGCTGGCTTGATCTCGTCTGGGGGGAAAACATCTTTAGAGAACCGTACGGACACTCTCCAGATTGGGAGAACCTTGCGTACCATCCAGATTACCCGCCCATCCGAGCTCCGAACCGACCTCATCTCACCTTGGGTTCTGCGTTATCCCCGGCCGTCCTCGTCGTCGCACCATAGCTGCGTGTCGGGCTTCATCGCTGCACATCGGGCTTCTCTGCTCTGTTAAACCCCCCACGTCTCTGTAGAGCGAGTGCGAACAAACTGGACTAGTTCGCGCACCGGTTGCTACCGAGTTTTGTCTAAACTCTAACTGAGACCATTGCCTTGAAAGCCAAGAGGCTATTTCAGCCTTAATTCGCAGCAGGCGCGCCATGTAAGCAGAGGGACAGCCGGCAGTTCATTCTTGCATATCGTATTGGGGTAGCCCGCCTGCTTGCCCATTACCGAGCAAGTCTTGATATCGTTTTGACACTCGGCCGGTCGCTTTCCGCAGTGACAACATTTCCTCTCTAACTTGAAGTTGCTAGTTGAGAATCCGTATAAGCTCCTTGTTTGTGAGTATATCGTACCTTTTCTTTTGCACCGAGCATACGTGTTTGCTCCGGTTAGATGACATGCTTGGCCAAAGTTGCAAATTGCGGGCTTTGAAAAAAGTCTGAAAAGTGTAAGAATAGAAGCCAACTGTAGAGACGGATTTGTATGCCTTGCCCTGTGTAATCGAGAAATTGCATTGTCGCAGCACCCTGCCGACGGGAGACTTCCTTCAAGAATATGGAATCTTGACATAGAAATAGGGGTACTAAGGGCAACGTGACATGCTCCAACTCAGCTGTCTCTTCAAATCACTTCACGTAGTCTTATTCCCATGTTGGCAGATGGGATACTGGGTCACACTCACGTCTGGTTCTCGTTATGGGATGCTAAACCTGTTTTCTCAACCTAGAAATAGTGACATGCACTCATAGCCTATTGCCAACACACCCACAGAGCCCATACTGATACACTTCTTCCCTATTCCAACAGTTCAACCCATGGGCAATCCCACAGCGTGTGGTGTAATTCATGCAATCTGTCCACGACCGTCATCCAACAACACCATCACAGGGCTTGATCTCCGCCCTGATCCCCCCAGCCTATCAATTCCAGAGCTTCAGACATCCTGTGGAAGCAAGTTTGAGGCTGCAATACATCATGGAGACCCATGAGAGATACATCGTTCGTGAATCACAACTTTGGAAGAAAGCTTGCTCGCTTGCTCGGGGCTGTGGCGTCCGAAAGAGCTGAAGAATCGTCATGATGCTCTTTCTTCATCTTCCTCTGTGTGCCCAATTTGGCCAATCCTTTCATTCTCTGCTTCTTCATAGGTCCCATTTCTCGGTGTAGGATCTTGACGTGATCCTCCACGCTTTCGGCATATGCCTCAGGGGTTTGCCTCTCATCTGCAACTCGCGTTTTTGCGTCGCTAGTGTTAGCCACAGACATGTCGCCCGATCTGTTCGCGATGGTGATGATATGTTCGAGCACTGCCGACCGAGGCCGAACGTGGTTTCCGTGAGACGACATCACCCGTTCAGAACCCCGAGTCACTTCATGCTTGTTCACTTCAGTGCGAGGCGGCGCCGTTTGGTTTCGTCTGCGCTTCTTCTCTGTCTCCTGATCCTCAATTGACTTCGGGCTGAGAATAGACGAGGCGCTTCTCTTGGAGACAGGCGTATGCCAACCACCGGGAGATCGAAGTCTCTCGACAAGCTGTCTTTCGGATGTGTGGGGATTGTTTCCCGGTTGCACTTGTGCTCGTCCTATACGACTATGCGTGTGGGAGCTACATGTCTGCCGGTCCTTCTGGCGATGGCGATCCATTCCTTCACCCTTTGATATGGGACAATTGCGATCAGTTATCGAGTGGTTGTTTCTACTACGTTCAGTGCTAGGTTGGGTTGGGGCAGGATCACGGGCACCAGAGTCGCTTCCTGTGAGAAAGTCAACTTGTGTAAACTCATAGTCGAGCAATCATGAAAACTGTGCAGTACTCACTTATAGAACGGAGCAAGTTTGACGTCGGTGATTTAGCATAGTTGGGTGTACCTCCTGTCTTGGAGTTGGGGAGTGTATGGCTTCTAGGCCTACCCGTTGTTAAGCCAGTCGGAGCATTCTTGCTAAGAGAAGCAAAAGAGTCGTCACTGCCGTATCCACCTTCGTACTTGCTATTGGCGAACCCAGGAAGGGGTTGTTCGGGTTCGTACAAAGGGCCTGGCAAAGTCTTGATGGCCACCAAGCCCAACGTGTCGGGGTCCATTCTACGCTGATTCAACACTTTCGGCTTCTGGCTTGGTGTTGTGCGGAGAGACCGACCCCGTGTAGCAAAAGACGCCTTTGCGGTTGATGAGGTCTTCGCAGGGGTTTCCACTCTCTGCTTCTTGGTGGCTGGAGCCGGAAACGACTGGTCAGGTGCAAGATCATCCCGGATGCGCTTCGACCCCTTCGTTGTCGTCGACTGAGTGTTCCTTTTCAAATCGTTCTAGGTCTTTGAAGAGGTATCATCCTGACGTTGGGCTCGACGGATAGGCTTGACTTCATGCTTCGGAACGGTAACAATTCTGATGGAAGGCTTGGGCGCCTTGGCCATCATGTTGGATAGCAGACTGAAGCTTTTTGGTACAGTCGGTTTTTTTGCGGTAGCCACATCTTCCTTTTTGCCGGTGTTGTGGGTGGTGTCCAAATCCAGGCGTGTTGCATCAGTATTCTTTAATTGTTTCTTGGGAAGGCCTTGAGATTCGATATCATGACCGACTAGAGTCGAGGATAACGATGATGTGCGAGGCCGGGAAGTAGTCTTGGCCTTGCTAGCTGCTATTTGTGTATTTTTCTGTCTACCCGTGCTGGAAGAAGTTTGGAATTCTTCGTCTTCATCTTCAAGAATGAAGCCAGAAACTCTGATTGCTGCAATCCCCTCCTGGAGGCCGTCGGCTGAGGCAGCCGTAGTTGTAGGCTTTTTGGAGGTACTTCCACGGCTCTCGCGTTCTTCGGTGTCAGGGAAGAAGCCACTTTTGAAAGCCCGACTCTGCAGCTTATCTAGAAATCTCAGGTGTCCAATATGGTCGCCGTTGGCAGGCGACGGAATTCTCAAAGGTGAAGAAGGTGCGTGAAGGTGTGCAGTCGGGTCATCAAGCAGTGGGTTACTGCGATGCAAACCACCTTGATCGACGAACAGGCTGTCGGCAGCCTGGGATGTTGCCCTGGGTTCGGCTGTAGCGTGTAGACTCGACACGGTAGAAGCCTTCTGGAAACGATATTCCGAAGGATTCTCTCGATAGCTTCTAGAGAACTCGGTTGATGGTAGAGAAGATGCGTTCCGGCCAGCTGTGCATTGAGTATTGGGAGGAGGGTGTGGTCCCAGAATGCTATGCCTATCGTGATCGATAGCTGACGGAAAGTGCGATTGCGACTGAATCGGACCGAGTGAAGAAGCCATGGCTGGAGGTTCAGGGAACGGAGTTCTTGGAATTTGCTGATAAGCTGCCAAAGAGCTATTGAACCCCTCAGAGCCTGACTGAGAAGCTGGCGATGGCTGGATGTAGTTGGTGCGATGTAGAGGATACTCGGCCTCTGCACCGCGCTCACGCGATGAACTACCCTGTGAGATAGAATAGTGACGCGGTGTGAAATTTCTAGGTCGAAGGGGTGGAAGAGAAGTGTATCTTGGCTCGGCAGGGTGTCGAAGAGGCTTCTGCTGTTGGCCTGATGACCGACGAGACACCACAGGAGCGTGGTGAGTGAAGTTGTCTTCCATACTGAACAACCACTCAGCGAGCAGATTTCCGATGATGGTATCTCTCGTGTGCTCTGGAAGTACGCTCGTTGTTTGGGGATTCGGCGCGGAAAGTTGATGCTCAAGATAGACGCGATCGCGCAGGCGCGACAATGTTCCAAACTTGGGATAAGGAAGAATGGCAAGAAAAGACCAAAAAGGCGACACACCAAAACACCAAAAATACAAGATCAGACTCGAGGAATGATTCCCCGAGCACTGCGCAAGTAAGAATGGTAAGAGAATGTGATGTGCGGAAGTGGGAGGTTGGTGATATTTGCGCGGGTCTCCGAGCAATGTGATGTGATGATGGGAGGATGGAAAGGTAAACAATTTCCGGGATGAGGAAGGTGTAGAGATGAAGAGCGGACGAAGTGAGAAGGATCGGTCCGCCCTGAGGTAATAAACATCCCTCCAACCTCCTTCTGACCGCCCTCCTGAGCCGTTTCTGAGGTAACCACCGCCTCATCAACGACCTCACGTCCACGTGAGGCGGTCACGCGTACGCATTTCTCGTCAAAAGCTCAGATGGAAGGAGCAGAGTGCCTCAGGTACCCAAAGGTGAGATGGTCAAGAAGGAGCAAATGGGTAAAGGGGCATGAGGTGGCTCTCAGAAGGAACGTGAATAGTGTTAAAGGGAGAAGAGCAGGTGGATTCCTTGGATCAGAGGGGTCTGTGGGGTTGTTCTCTGCTTATCTTATTGATGACCCCGAGAAGAAGGAGGAGGCCGTCCACGAAATTATCTGAGTATCTTTTTTTTTTTTTTGTTATCAAGTACATAGCTGAACCTCAAGATGGAAGTTATTCTTTCCCGGAATGGCCCCCGATATCGTCTTCTCTCGAGTTAGGCATTCCTGGAATGGTGTCTACTGTTTCAAGCCTCAATTCCTGGCGTCTAAGGCCATATACAGAAGTAGAAGCTCTCACCTACTTGGCAAAATAGGAGCGTAGTCAGTCAATTTAAGAAGAGAAAGAAACAACGGAGGAAGCATTGAGCGAGTGCTTCTTCACTCTGGTGTTCGAGAGCAGTGCTCTAATAATTATGACAGTACATCCCTCAAGACTCGTGACATATCAACAGCAATAATGACTAATCGTTCATGAGTTCAAAGAAACAAAAGAGTTCACCCCCCCGGTGCTGAACTGGGGGCTACATCTCTGGTGCTCATGCTGGGACTCGAACTCGCTAAGCCTGTCGTCGAGTAGGCTGGTTGGCGTTCTGATTGTTGACCATGAACCGTTCCACCACCACACCACAGTTTGACCTGACCCCCGGCCTAAGGGGCGCCTGCTGCGCTGGTGACAGGAATTGGGTTGAGGGGGTTAATGAAGGCTTGTTGTTGTGTATTCAGGGCGGTATAGGCAGAAGAGGTATCGGATGAGGAGGTTTGTGATGTGGCTGGGAAAGGCAAGGCGCGGGTCAGGGTGGCTGACCTGGTAACCATCGAGGTATGATCTTCGAACAATTTGACTCTGTCGAGTCTTTCCTATATTCTCTGTGGAAAGTCTGATGTTGGATATCTTTGATATGAGTCTAACCACTACGCCGTCTTGCTGGCCCTTTGCAAAGCCTTGCCAAAGTGCTCAACAAAATCAACACAGTCCACAAACGTATTATACAACGGCGCCGGCGCAACTCTGATGACATTGGGCTTCCTCTCGTCAATGACCACCCCAACCTCCTCAAAGTACTCCATCACACCATCCAACAGCCCATCCGCGAGCTTCAAACTCAACTGCGCTCCGCGCTCCTCGCTTACCGACGGCGTAATGATGCTGAACATATCGGAACTGAGCCAGTTCTGGAGCAGCACCTCCAGGAACGCCGTCAGCCGCTTCGACTTCTCACGCAGCGGCGCCATCCCGCCCGCGAGCTCAAACACCTCGAGCGAAGCGCACAGCGACGTGATGTCGAGCACGCTCGGGTTACTCAGCTGGAAGCCGGCCGCCCCGGCCGCCGGGTGAAACTTTGTCGCCATCACGAAGCGCGAGCTCTTGTCGTTGCCCCACCAGCCTCCGAAACGATTCACGTAGCCCTTCTCGGAGTCAGCGTCCTCGACCGAGGTCGTGACGGCCGTGTGCCGCGCGTTGACGAACGCGCCGCCGATGCAGCCCGGCCCGCCGTTGAGGTACTTGTAGGTACACCAGGCCGCGGCGTCGACGTCCCAGTCGTGGAGGTGCAGCGGGACGTTGCCGACGGCGTGGGCGAGGTCCCAGATAATGGGGATGGCGTGCTTGTGCGCGAAGGCGGTGATGGTGGAGATGTCGAGGAGCTGGCCGGTGTAGTACTGGATACCGGGCAAGAGGATGAGAGCCGTGTCTGCGGCGTGGGCCTCGATGATGGAGAGGATGTGCTGGGTTGCGAGGGTTGGTTCTACGGCGGTTGAGGGGGGCTCAATGCAGACCATTGACGTTGACGGGGAGAGATCATGGTGTCTGATTTGGGTCTCCACGACGAACTGTATGAGCTGTTAGTGCCATTCTCTTGTCTAAGTTTGCGGAAAAGAGCTGACTTACATGGTCACTCGGAAAGGCCTTGCTCTCCAGGATTATCTTGTGTCTGCCATCCTTCTTGGGCTTGTAAAAGGCCGACATGAGAAGATGGAGGTTTGCCGTCAGAGTCTGCATCACGGCAACCTCGGATTCCTCAGCGCCAACAATGGGGGCCATCATCTTAGCCGCCCTGGCGTCTACGTCGAGCCATGTCGGCAACGGGGAGTCTTCCAAAGGCTTGAAATGTCCCTGGACACCCTGCATCGCCCAGGTGGACAGATACTGCTGTATCCTCTCGGCGGTGCGCTTAGGCTGCAGACCGAGAGAGTTGCCGCAGAGGTAGGTGCATTTCTGCTGACCGGCCTCTGATGTGGCAGAGCCGTCATCTTTTCCTTGGAGAAGGATGTTAGCTCCAAAATCTAGAGTCTAGAGGCATTGAGTGTGAGGAGTAGCATGTGAAGGAGTTAGGGAGAGTGAGAATGAAGGGAGCTAGGTGTCTTCTGATGAAGTAGAATGATGCCTCCAATTGCTGACCTTTCTTGGCAAGGGTCTTGCTGGTGATGTCTTGTTTCGTGGGGATGACGAACTCGTCCCGCGTGTGCCTCAGCGCATCTTCCTGATCCAGGGCCTCGGCGCGTTGCCTGATGGAAGCGTCGAGGAGAGGGTCCATATCGGGTGAGATAGTGTGGATGACCTTTGACTAAGATGAGGTAGGACAACCTCTTGCTCCGACCTTGGCTTGAGGTTGGAGAGAGGGGGTGGGGAAATCGAAATGGTCGTCAGTGTGTCTTGGGATCTACTCTCTCTCGGGTTCACCTTGAATAGCAGTGTCGCAGTAACCCTTGATCGTGTGTGTCAAGACCCTTGGATTCAATAAGCTGGCCTCAATATTCTGCGTTCACGGCTTACAAGATGATGCACGTTGGGTCAGAGGTAGTGAGGTCAGCAGTGTTTTCCAACCAAAAACACGAGTGAAGTCATGATGCTCCATTGAATAATTCCCGCGCGTGCGCCCCTCCTCCAATGAGGGGTTCGGATGGAGCTCCGGCTGGCGGGGCCACGCCGTGCAGCTGGCAACGTTCACCACCACCTTCCATCTTTTGTGACCACCGAGTGACCATCACCACGACCACAACCACTTCAAGTTGGATGACTGTGTGGACAGGTACCTGAACTTGGGATGGAGCTGCCCACTCAGAGACCAAGGGAGCATCAGGTGTTCCCACTATGTAAAACAGGCGGAGAGAGGGAGGAAGAGGTGAGACGATGGAGAAATCACTATTTCAGCATCAGAGGGGGAGAGGATCCTCTTTTTCTCCAAAAACTTGTGGTTTAGTGGACCTTGAAAAAACTTGGTGATGTATCGTGATGCCGAAGTCAAAGATGTGAATTCGATTAAATCAAGGTACTTTCCTTCGATCCTTGACATGTACCTTGCCCAAGTACCGTATACTTTGTCTAACTGTGTCAATGTACACTTACTTGTACCGGCATATATCTCACGAGTTTCAAAAGATCAAAACCTGCATCGTGACAATCAAAGAAAGAAAAAAACTTCTGTTCCATTCCATCATCATCAAAAACAACAATAACGTGCTCGAGCTAAACGCCTCGGATTACGAAATATGGGAGTTTTCATTACCCCCTCAAAACCCCGGTATTACCCCCTCATTACCCCATAGACTGGCCACATGCGGGGTTTTGCTGACTCGTCCCTTGGCAAGGACCCTCCGCAATCCGCGAGTCTGGGGGGCACACGAGATCGTTTGGGCCCAGACAGGGCCTGGTCGGTACCTTGAGCCTCGAGGCGCAAGGTAAATCAGGTACGGACGGCGGCGGCGGCGGCGGCGACGACGGCATGGTGGGGGTGGGCTTGCGTCTTTGTCTCGTCCCTCCAAGTTTTTTCTGTTTCTCGTGGATGGCGGTACCTGATGGACTAGTCTTACACTCCATCCAGATGGAGTCCTTCTTGGGGAAAGGAGGACCACATGAATGGACCCAACAGAATACATACGAGTCTATACTATGTACGACTAGATGGAGAGGGTGGGAGGTGGAAGGCTAGGTAGGTAGCACGGGGTCGGACGGAGCCAGAAGACGAGTCCGTCACCCCCTCCTCCCCGTGAGCGTCCGGGGATCCACGGCGGGTGATGCGGAGGACAAGGTGACTCTGTGACGGGAAATGGATGGTGGAAGGTATGCTGCCACTCTCACCCTCCTTCGACGGAGTTCCATGTTTCACGGAAGGAATCACGGCACGGGGTTTTTCGGCAGCTGCGGGCGCTAGGCGGGATATCAATGTACGAAGTATTCATACACAGCAGCAGCAGACTGACCGGGCTTACTTTCCTTGCAGATCCTGAAGCAAGTCTGGCAAGCCTAGGCCCGAGGAGGCCCGTTTCGAATTCAAGCCACGCTTTTCTTTCTTTCTCTCTTCGTTATCATCTGTTGTGACACGGAACTACTCTCTGTGGTTTCCCAGAATTAAGCAAGTCTTCCCAGAGCCATGGAAAGATAAGCACCGGGTGCCCAACCCGAACATCTTGGAAAGTTTCCCCTTGCTCGCCCGGGTGGTCGGATGATCCTCGCACTTTCGGGTTCTCCCCTTAGCCTCATGCAAGTTTTCTCTACGGAGTGGTCGAAAGGGGGTGGGGGCGGGGGGGGGGGGACGACGGGCTGGTATGGGCTGGCTATGGAGGACTGAAGCCATACCTACGTAGAGTTATGGAAGTAGACGCCGCTTTGGTGACTTTTCTCACAATCGACCGATTACCTTACCCCGATGAAATAAAGCTCTGCAAAAGGTAGGAGGGAAAGAGGGGACTGACAATAGAAGGAAGACGACGCTTTTCCCCGGCGGGTGTTCTGCATTGTACCTCTTTTTCCAACGAAACTCTGTAACCAATTACTAAAGATGGAATTTGGGAACGGAATGTCGCAGATTCAAGGACACGACACGACTAGGGTTGATTGGCACTCTCCTACGAGGACAGGAAAGCCGCTGCACCTAACAATACACTCCGCGGGTTCTCTTGGCCGGAGTTTGACTTGACGTTGGGACAGTTTCGGGTGGAGACCCCGACCCTCCGACGTGATCACCCAAAGTCGTGTGTATGGAGTAGGGGGAGGCTCTGCTTGGCTACCAACTTGTTCTATTTCATGTTCTCTCTGTGACGGGTCACCGGTACTACGATGGCTGGTCTTCCCTAGCCAATGCTACTCCGAGTTCTAGATTACAATCCAAGAGGCCTCCCCTGACGGCAGGCGTAAACGGCGTGAAAATCCCGCCCAATAATGCCTCTGGGTTACTCAATTGGGAAGAGCCATTTTCTCTCCAGCGGCTCAACTCAAACTTTTTTTTTCTACCAGAGCAACACGCTCGAAAATTCGAAAAACAGGGCTATCTGATCGTGGTACCTTGCCGGATCGGAATGAATATACGCGGCTCGATGCGCCCGTCGATATGCACAATAGAGGAGGCCTCTCGTTTTTCTTCCCGTTGTGTATATCCAATCAAGTAGCAAGCGAAGAAAGAAAGAAAGAGCAAGAGAAGGGGGGGACTGGACGCATAGGTCAGGAACCCGGTCGGAAATATTTCTTACGTACTCGTACATGTTCGTGGCGGCCGGCAGTGAGTTTTGCACGATGCCGCAATTATTGCAACAGCTTTTGTAAACATTGCGACAAGAAGCAAGGGGTCAGTGAAAAAGTCAAGCAGCAAACACAACAACACCCCCAGTATCGAAAAAGACTTTATTGTATTGTGATTTTGTGGTTTGATTGTCTGGAAATAAACCAGAACCACTAATTAATTCTCGTTTCTATGTGTCATTAACTGCCTTTCTACACACCCCCAGACCCAAAACAGAGGTGAGAGCTTCTCTCCATCGTGACCTGGGGCTGGAATGGTGCCATTGACCTGGAACCCCCGAACCGGGCTTGACGGGCCACCTGGCGCGGCGAAGGAAATTAAATAACGAAAGTCGCATTGTGACCTTTCTCGTTTTTTTTCTCTTTCCTTTCCTTGGTCCGTGGTCGAGCTAGAGACTGGTGACGGCTGACTTGCCCCAAGCTTTCCCCGGGGAATGGGGAATGCAGAAAAGGAGAACCCGCGGGACCTGGCAAAAATCTGGGGAAAGGCACCTTGGCAAGTGACGATCCGAGTTTTCCATCCCCTTGTGGCTGTGCTATTGGAGTCACGATCTCTTCACTCCTGTCAATAGCGACTAGAGGCGTTGTTAGGGTAAAGCGGTCTCCGGGACTCAACCCCCTCTTTTTGGCAGCGGGAATGTGGACGTGTGCGTGCGTGCGTGTATGTGTTCCACACCTTGAGGTGTGAAGTCTAGAAGTCGGTGGACTGAAAAGGTGAATCGGGGTAAGGGACGGGGAGAGAAAGATCGTGACACATCGTGTCTCTTGACCCTTCCAACGGGGACATGGTTCACATCTCAACCTTTACAACTACGTGACTGAGCATCAAATCCACAGAATCAGTCCTGAAAATGCAGACTTGGACAATCCGTCCATTCCAGGCTTCCTGTCAAGTTTCCCCAAACTCTTACCCCATAACATCCACATGGTATATTAGTATGCAGGAAGGGGGAACAGCGCAGTGCTTGTTACTTTCCCGGAAGGAGGAGAGAAGAATCGAATTTGGACGAAACAAAAGGCCTTGTCAGACCGCGTGACGAGAGGAGTCTTGGGTCCAGGACCTTTGGAGACGGGCAGTGTTTTACAACGGCTTTTCCATTTGGTAATGGCGATGCGGGATCGCGGGGCATCAATTTGGATCGTCGGGGCCCCGGCCTGGGGTGGCTAGATTTAGTGGAATAGACTGTGTTGTTACGCAAGTCGAGACTTGAAAAGGGAGTGAGAGTATCGTGAGTTATGAACACCATCCAAGGTACGGTACCGAAAAGCTGGGGTAAAGCAGAAGCAGAGGAAGCGCAAGCTGCAAGAGTCAGAGGGAACGGGGCATTGTCCAAACGAACTAGGTTTCCCATCATCCAGAGTCCTTCCCAACTTCCCCAATGGGGCCAGGTCGGACTGTCCCGTGGCCATCTCGGGGTCGCAACTGGCGCTGGCGCGGGCTGCACGATCAAGTAATCTGGGGGTAATGGAAACTCGACGATTCGGGGGCCCGGTCCCGTCGGTTGGCAGATGGAACAAACAACAGCCATGCTAGAGCGGCTGTGGGGAAAGGGAGACATCAGCCGCCGCGCTCCCGGGCCACTCGGGGCTGAAAGGGTCAAGGGCCATCCCCAACATTGTTGCCGTCCCGTGATCTTTTTACAGGCTTGACCGATTTTCCCTCGGATCTTGGACCCAGGGGTTCTACTTCTTGTCCTGGTCTAGACGGTTGTTGGGGGGCCTTTCTGGGCGTGCGTGTGTAAAAGGAGGGCTGAGCTGGTTGATCTGTGTAGTTGTGCAGAAGATCTGGGGTAAGACAAATATGGAAAACAGAGAGTCTCGGTTCCTGACGAGGTCGCCGGAAGGGAAGAGCGGGAGACTGGTGTTGTTTTTTCTGGGGGAATTAGATAACCCGGTTCCTGTGTCCGTATCCAGTTGCGATTGATAGTCAGTCTTTGGACGAACATGGCTGTTGCTATTAGTGTCCATATTTTTGTTATGAGGTCTGAGCTGTTGCCGGCCGGGGGACTTGTTGTTATCATGCCGTGATTCACAAGGGGAGGTACGACGACTACGTACACAACAAAGAGGTAAATGTCGTATGTGTACATGAGAAGATACATGACGCCTCTTTGGATGAGATACGTTAGTATTGCGAAAGTAGGTATCGTGGGTATCAAGCATGGTACATGATCGGAAACCACTTACAATGGAGCAAGGTACGACGAAGTTGGTTCTTTTTTCTGGGGCTTTAGAGGGGCAATGGCTGGGAAGTCGTCTCGAAGCAAGGCCGGCGCCTGACAAGCGGGCGTTTTGAGCTGCAACGCGAATAAGCGGTAAAAAGAGGAGGTACAGAGTACTCACGATTTGTTCAAATTTTCAAACGGGTTTCTTTACCCGCAGCGTGATAGACAGTATTCTTCAGAGTAATCTGCTTTCTTGTCCTAAGTACAGAGGTACCTTCGCTTACCGTCACCGGTCTTTTCGTAACGAGTCCTGTGCTTTGTTGGGAAAGAAACGCAAAAAGACATCATCTCGAGGGTACATGTCGTTTCGTCTGTACATAGAACGGCGGCTACCAGTGCCGAACTCTCGGGGCGTCTTGATAATGGGAAGGTGACTGACGATATTAGAGAGTGCAATGCAACAGCAGAAGCAAGTTGACAACACAGCAAGCAGCAGGTCGGCGGGTAAACCGGGTACGCACAGGACGGCCCATGGAATGCTCTTTTGCGAGAGCTCACGGGATCCAAGGCCGCGCGCTGAGAGACCGGCCGCCCGGACGTGTGGCTCTGCTGGGCAATACCGATTTTGACACATTTGCCTGCGGTGAGTAAGACCTTATGCCTTGTTGAAGGCTATCGCCATCGGGTTTGGCTGCTTTGACTTGGTATTTTGGACCTGGCATCCGAGATGGCTCATCTAAGATGGGTTCTGTAATGCGCTCTTTTCTGCTTCATCCTTTCGTGCCCTCTCCCAAGTCCCAATCCAGCCGGGCCGGTCATGTTGGGTAACACAGAAAAGTATGATATGAGGTTTGAAGAGACGTCGGGTGCCCGCTCCGACACTTGGACCTCGAATGAAAAGAGGTACCTGGCAAGGTATCCTTACGAATAGAGGATGCGAGAGAGAGAAAAAATGCAAGAAAAAACTGGAAAGTGTACCGCTGCTGTGTGGATTAAAGAGCCTCGAATAGCCGTGACATGTAAGGAGAATTGCAGATACGTACACTGGCAAGTCTCTTGTACCTGCTTTCGGTCTTTCCCACGATGCCTTTTTGCAGAGAGAATAACCGAGAAAGAACGGCACAGGGAAGTACGGATACATCTGATGGGAAGAAGTACCTACGTACCGTTGGATACGTACCGTTGGAGGGCATCGTGGTCTTCCCAGTGGATGTTTGAGGCCTTGGTGGTTCCTTGGTGCCCCAAGTGCCCCTCCATTGGCGCATGTGATGTGCCCCATGTGGCAGCTCCCAGGCCTCACTGCTTCAGCTTCTGCCCCAGCTTCCCAGCCAAAAATGTCGCCTTACGCCGTCAGGTACGATGGGGCATACGGCAGCGATGAGGGTGAAGCAAGTACCCTTTTCTCCTGTACCTCTACTCCAGGCGTACAGGCGGACCCAGGCCCGGGACGGTCGCACTCGCCAACACCACCACCGCCGCGCCGCCTTCGCCGCCAGGTACCGCAATACTTACGCAGTAGTACCTACCTTGCCCCGTACCTACATACTTGGAGAAACTTGAGAAGGAATAGGTACCTTCCCGCCTCTCTCTTCCCTCGAGCTGTAAGCCTGTGATCCAATCAGCAAGGCTAATTGGAGTCTGCTGCCTACCCGAAACGGCTTAGCCCGGTTTCTGTTTGGTAATAGTTCGCCATTTGTGCTGCGGGTGAAGTCATCATCGTGATCCAACTCGTAGTAGACACTGGACGAGAAGCCACGGGAGCTTCGTTCGAAAGGGCGAGAGCTGCAAGGATGCATGTCGACGTGCTTCCCCTGGAGGCCCTGGAGGGTGGAAAATATGCAAAATTTCCTTCACAACGTCTCCCGTCTTTTGCGAGTCACCTGCCCGGTCAAGGGGGGTGTGTGTGTACATGGAAGAAGGGACTTGGAGAGACGTACTCTTGTAGAAGGGAATTAGAAGAGAGAGAAAAGTTCGACTGGGAAAAGAATGGCCGGCATTGATTTCTTGCAGTCAGAAAAGCATTCGTCGCCGTCGTCGTTGTTGTTGTCAAGTCATCAAGTACCTGTGAGTATAAAGCTTTGAGCCGGGCCTCTTGGATCGTGAGTTTCTCAGTTCCTGATCGACTCTGCTTTTTCCTCATCCTCATCTTCATCCTCATCTTCATCCTCGTCTCCTCCTCCCCCTTTCAAGAGCCTCAACTAAAGCTCGAGGTTAGACAACTTCACCCAACAAGCAGCATTTACCCGCTTGCTGTTACTCTTTGCCTACATCCCTCCCTCACGCTCTGGCTTCGTTCCTACTGGCCAAATAAGACCTACCTTATCTCTCAATCTCTGAGCCACCACAAAGGTAAACAACATACACACGCAGCTCTCCGTCATTCTCTTCACCAATCCCAAATTGCGTCCCTCACCGTGTCCGCCTATGGGCTCCCTATCTCGCGTCAGCCACACACCTGTAGTACACAGCCCAGCCAACAGCCGTCAGCCAGCTCTCTCAGCAACCGGCCCGGCGGCGTGGTGTTCTGTTGTGTCTCCCCCAATTGCTGCCCTCTTGCTTGTGCCTTTCAAGTTTCCACCACCCCAGGCCCGTTCACAGCCCTGTGGCCACGGCTGCTACGACCTTGTCCGCCCGCCTTGCTGCTATTTTCAGCTGAAGGCAGCAAAAAACGAGTCGATACGGGAGCGCTAACTCTCACGCAGTTCAGGGTCCCTTATCTCTCAGAAACCCGCCCCTCGGTGTTGCCACATCCACATCTCACGAAGTCACAGACTGAATTTCTGGTATCTTTGCTGAAC